CATCCCAGTCATTTGGCACTCTCTAGCAGGTGGAGCAACTGTAGGGGGTTTAGTCTATTCAAGAACCACTATGGAAAGCAGTACAGTTATAATGCCTTACGTAAAACCTGTTGTTTGGGTTATAGGTGCAACTATTTAAGAATAAAAACAAATATCCCTCCTTGCTGGATGCTAAACCTCTTGTTAAATATGTTCTTTTTAAAAGCTTCTAGTTCATTTTTTTTTTATTGCTTTTAGTTGCTTTGTAAGACTCAAGAATATGAGGATCTGTTTTTCCTCTTAAAATATTTTTCATATCCCAGTGTAAAATCTGGAATATAGCATGGGAGGATTTAAAAAAATGTAATCTACAACACCTCATTTGTTGATGCTCTGGCAGTATTTAGTGGGGCATTCCAGCAGGTGGTTTGAATTTTTGGTGCAAATCACTGACCACTTCTAAAATAAGTGTTTTTTTTTTTTACCTGATTATCCGCTGTCAAAAGGATCTGCTATCTGTAATTAGCTGTTTCTACAGTACTGTAGAAATACAACATTGAAAAATGTGTTGATGGGGCTGCCTTAGCTCTTTCGAGGAAGAATACAGCTTTTACGTTTTGAAATTTCTCTCAACATGCAGAATTAAGTAGAAGAGGTTAGGATTTAATGATCTGATCATCTTTCCATAATATTTCTAATTTGAGCTATCCCTATCAGCAGTCTGAAGTCCTCTTCATTAAAGCTGCATGTGTAATAAGAGCACTAGTTCTTGTTCGATGTCATTCATATTAATATGAATGAACAATAGGAATATGAACATATTCATGTGCCTACAACATAATCATATGTTGTAGGCACATGATGGACATGGAGGAAATCACTTCTCTAAATAACCTTCTCCCTGCTGTGTTAGTTGCTGTGAAGCAAAGGGAAGTACTTGTCATGTCTGTAATGAAAAGAAGAAAGCAGCAAAAGGAGATTTCCTAATTTCTGAGAGTCCCTGATGCTGTAGCACTTTGAAGTCCTTTCACAATGACAGTGGGAGGGCTGTGGCAAAAACTTAGCAAGATTATGGGGTGATCTTCCTGCTGTGTTGGTGGTAATTGCTGCAAAGGCATCAGCTGTAAGCACCTGCCCCATCTTACAGGTCTTCTGTAATGCAATCTTATATCTTCTCCCCTAGAAAGTTTTTTATTCCCTTGAACAGAGAGGTCATTCATGACTGAACGATAGAAGAACCGTGATTTCTTTTTGCTCTGGAATGTAAATGTGAGTGCCACCGAATACGCTTCTGTGATCCTTTCCTCAGCCTGTTTCTTTGCAGGGGCCAGGTGACCTCTTCCACTTCATGGTTGTTTCAGGCCATAAACTGATTATGCTCATTTTTTGTTCAAAGCTGGAAGGTTATCTTCTAAATAATGAGTACTGGGAGTATCATGAAACAACCTGCAAAGTTTCACATGCTCCCAGGGCTTTTCAGCCCTCTGACCACCTCGTTTGGATGATGAGTTGGTGATTACCTTATTCGAGTGGGAGGAAATGGCTGGAGAAAAGCTTGCATGGTATGCAGAGCTTTCTGACCTGCTCAAAGGTGATAAAAGCCTTAGAGCCAAGGCTTAGTGGGTCTTGACTCTTAGTGGGCTGTTTGGAAGTGGAGCAATCATCAGATTTCCCAGGAAGGAAAAGAAAAAAAAAAAAAAGAAAAACAAAAATCCACAGGGAAGGAGGAACTCCTGGTGTTTCCATAGGCCCTTGGAAGGTCACTGCTGCTTGAGCAGCTTCCTCCCTCCTCCGCACATTCCCAGCAGTAGTGTCTGGCTTGTGGCCAGGCAGTGCCTTGTGCTGCCTCACTCAAATTCTTCTCCCATGCTGTTAGTCGTGTCATTGCTCTAACGCTCCCAAGCCCAGTGACCAAGTCCTATTCCTTGACAGTCTTATGTTCTATGTTTCATTTAAATGGGGTCATATACCAGTGAGGAAAACCAGAGAAGCCTGGGCTGTTCTCATTTCTCCACAGAGCAACACATTTGTTCCAGCAGTAGCTTGGGGGGAGGAAGAGCACAGCCAACAGTTTCATAGGAGTGGGGAGAGGAAAAGCTCAATCACTAGATCCAGTGATCTTATATGACTGTCACCACCTGGTAGGAGAGCTGTCCATCAGGAGCATGGAGGTGGTGGCATAAGGAAGGGAGGAGGTGAGCAGTTGACATGGGACCATGGGTTAATACTGATAACAGCAGTGAAAGGGGGAGCAAAGGTGCACAATGGCTGTATGTGACCTCAGCATGTAGAGCCAAAAGATGACATTGCTGCTATTTCCCCAAAATCTGAAATGAGGGCTCTGAAACTAGCTCCTTTCATTCCTTGTGATCGTTTACAGCCGATGCTTCTTGGCAGCAATGTCATTACGGTTGATAATAAATTCAGTGTGTATTACATATACAGGAAAATAGATGTAAACTATCGCACCTTTAGGATAAGTATCTTCATGGATTGTACTTTCTGCCCTGATCAGTGTATAAAATATGCATATATATAGCTTTTTTATTGCCCTTTTTTTTTACGGGGGGAAATTTAGGGAAGGCTTCTTCATTTTATCAAATGCTAGGAATAACTAGTATATATTCTTTTCCAGAATACAAGTGCAGATTTACCTCAAGGCTATAAAGTGTAACTGAAGTCGCAGTGTGTTTGCAAGAGACTGCTTTATTCATTTCCCTTCAAGACAAATTAAGTCACTTTACTTAAATTACTCACTGTGTTCCACACCACATTAAGGCTTCTCAACGTGTCAGGATGATTGTGAGAGAGGGAGCTGGCAGGAAAAATACACAGGAGAACTGCCCATTAAAAAGGTGTGTGAAACTGAGCAAAAGAAAAGAAGTCATATACAAATCTGAAACTTTCTCTTCTGCTGTAAGACATGTTTTAGAAACATTCAATAGCTTTTATTAAGGGATACAAAACTACTGAATTATCAAACCTCAAATTACTCATTCAGAACAGCTTAATTAAAATTAATGTAATTGAGACTATATTCCCTCTGCTGCCTATAAGCTGTACAGCATTGTAAATTATGTTGGGATAGTTATACCCAAGCTACCATGTTGCAAACAGCTTTATAGCACCTCAGTGCATATGCCAGCAAGGAGCTGTTTTGTACTTGTCCTGTTTTTCATCATATTCTTTCTCTAAGAGTTGCCAGGCTTAGAGGCAGCTTTTTGGGCTAAATGGACCTTTATTCTGAGCCTGTTTGTTTGTTTGTTTTTTAATTTAATGCTCTTTTCGTATTTACATAATAGTTTACATTTTCCAAACACTTTCCCATCAGTAACTCCTTAGGCCCCATGGGTTTCATCAGTAAATGAAATGCATTCAGCAGGGCTGCCGGCTGCTGAAACTGGCTGGCACAAACAGTCCATTTCTGTGCTAGAAAAGCCTTAAACTACAAATGCCAACCGATCTGTTTGAAACAGTCCCCAGACCACTGAAATGCGCAGGAGCATCTGTGCTGAGGAATTAGTTGGGTAGGTGATAGGCCAAAAGCATGCCAGCAGCAGTTTTCAGCAGTGGGGGTGACCATGCCGTAGCAACCAAGAGTCTGCCCCATGACTCCTCAGGTCCCAGTGCAGCTATTGGCAATGGCCCTTGGGAAACAGCATCAGGTCAAAGACTTACCCCCAAAACAGTAACTGTGATGGGTTACTCAGGTTCTTTTGCATGAATGTCAAAGCTGTCCACAGGTAGTTTAGGTGGGTCTGCTGGCATAAGCAAAAGCCCTTTGCCAGATTTGTGTGCTCACTTCTGCATCCTGAGTTTGATTATGAATAGTGCAAGAAGTGTTGTATCTGCACGCTTGTCTTGGTATGCCAAATCTAGTTGATAATTACAAGTTAGATGATATACTGGTACTGCTGGCAGGAATTCAGCCACAGTAGTTTCAGCCTCACTTGCAGTGCATTTTGTCTTCATTCTTGTTGTAAATGGGGTTTGCCCAAGGCCACCCTCAGCAAAGCCAGCAAGAAGATTGGAATAAGCACATCTTCCTCATCCTGGTTTCACAGAAGAGAAAGATACAAATGCAGTTTCTTGGCCAGGTTTGGTCCAAGACAACCCCTGCTTTCTTTTCAGGTTTGACTGATGTTTGCTTCATAGGCTACAGGCCAGTTGCTGGGGGGAACACCACAATTTGGTGGTGAATAATGTTCAAGTAGCCAGTACTGAGCTTCCTGCATGCTGAGAGGCTGCCCTGCTCTGGTGTGGCTGGTTTGGTGTGTGACCTGCCTTGTCCTTGCAGTGTCCTTGGAGTTTTTGCAGGCCATAGTTAAACTGTTCAGTGGGGAGTTGTGCCTGTGATGGACTTGTGATGTCCTTCTTTTATTAACCGAGTGGGTGGAAGGCTCTAGTAAAAATCACACCACACTGTGTGTTCTCATGGTGCAGCCGCAGCTCACTGGCTTCCCACTGTTTTGGGGGTTGGAACCTAGAAAGTCACCTGGCTGGGAGAGCTGGCTTCTTGCTGGGAAGGTTCTGCATCCCAGGACATGTCTGGAGTCTGCTTAGGTGGAAAGCACAAAAGTTCCATTGTTGGGTTTTTTGAAGTTTGTTTTTAGCAGCAGCTGAAAGTCACTTGTGTTTTCCTGGGCAGAGTTCTTCCCTAGGGGCTGCCTGCACGCAGCCTGGCTGGTGCAAGGAGGAGTTTCTGCTTCTTATCTCTCTCGCAGTGCCCACGGTGTGAAAGGCTGCGGTATTTTCATACAACCTGCTGCAGTCACTGATGTCCTTTCAAGTGCTCTTAAGTTCAGTGCTTTGGAACAAACGGAAGTAATGCTTTAGGTCTTACGGGTTTTCTTTTGAGTGGTTTGAGGGTTTTTGCTCAGTGGAGTTTCTAACGCACTATTTCCCCCCCCCTCTGTTCTTTTAAAACCAGTTAGTATTATCTAGGTCAGTTTAACAATGTCTTTGTGAGTCTGCTCATTTCTAAGGTGTAAAGCTGATCTTTTAATGTTTTTTTCCTACAGCTGACCTGAACAATGTCAGGTTCTCAGCGTACAGGACTGCCATGAAACTCCGCAGGCTGCAGAAAGCTCTCTGCTGTAAGTATGTGCCTTTTGGCTGGTGGGAAGACTTTATGGCCAACACATGAGCTAATTTGTAACCTTCAGAAGCAGAAAAACACCCACACAGGTACCCCCAGCTCTGTCTGGTGCATGGAAACCTCTCACCTGAAGGGTCTTCTGCTGCCAGTAGTTTGCATATTCCTCACAAAACCAAAGTGCTGGGTGGTCTTCAGTTCTGTCCCCTGTAAGACAGAGCAGGGGATCAGAAAGAAAGCTAACGGCCCTTACATGTGCCTTTATATCTTTTTACTCAGTTTTTTTTTTCACTGTGCTCATTACTGGAGCTATGTCCTGTGTCAGCCACAGCTTTATTGTTTTAGGTTGCTGTTTCAACCTAAAGAAACAGGATCATAGTGTGCTAGGAACAGTGAGAGTTCAGGTGAAATAATCACTCCAGAGCTGAAGTTGCTAATGGTTTGTTAAGTTGAATCTTGAACCCTGAGGGTTTGTTGCCTTTAAACAAGATCATTACACTAAACATTTAACTTTACTTTTCCATAGCTTTTGGTCATGTTCAGAGTTCTCTCATCAGCCATCCCTTAGTGATGTGTGTGTTCTAACATTTTAATTCTCTCAGCTGGTGTCTGGTGTTCTACCAGTCACTGAAGTTACATTTCCTCTTCAGCTTATTGTAACCTGATAGCTAAATAATTTGCTCACAGTTTTCTTGGTAGGCCAATGAGCTGCCAAAGCAATCCGTTTATGAAGTGGTATACTTTGGAAGGTCACTGAAATATCCGTCATTTAATTACAGGGTTAAATTTCTGACACAGTTGCAAATGTTTCAACTGTTGATTTATCTCAAGTTTGGATTTGTGTTCACATGCTTTCTGGAGCTGTGTCAAACCTCGGTATTTTTGAGCATGTTTACTTTTAGGCTTACAAGCATGGGTGAATTCCACTAATGAAAAACTTAATTTCTGAATGTCAAAAAAAAAAACTAGAAAAGAAAAAAGGAAAGAAAAAAGCAACCCCAAACCACCAAGTGACAAGTCTTGTAACATAATGAAAGATTTCAACATTAATGCAACGACAAAGAATGAATTATGATAATCATAAATACAAACATCTCTCCATGCCACACTCATTACAGAAAAGTAGTGTAAAGAAACTGAAGTGATATGTAGTGAAAACTATTCATAATCAGTGCAGTTTTGGAATAAGGAACTAAAATTTTTGGAATCACAGGTTTCTTTGGCTGGCAGTGTGCAAGTGTAACTTGTAACAGGTTCTTTCTGGCTGAAAAGTGCAAAACTTTGCATTCTGTTTATCTGTAATACCCTGACACCTATCAATGAATAATTCTAGACTCATTTTGGACTTCTGTATTGAGTTTGCATGGCAAGGTTTTGGTAATAATGGGCCGCAGGCATGGCTTCTGTGAAAAGCTGCCAGACAGCTTTTCTGTCCAGTAGAGTCAGTGCCAGCCTGCCCCAGTAGAGTGACCCACTGCTGGCCAAGGCTGAACTCATCAGTAGTAGTGGTAGCATATTTAAGAAGGGGAAAAAGAAGAGCAATTGCTCAAAAGGTAACTGAGCATATGTGAGAGTAACAGTTCTGCAGTCTCCAAGGGGAGAGGGGTGCTTCAGGCACTAGAGCAGAGATTCCTCTGCAGCCTGTAGTGCAGACCATGGTGAGACAGGCTGTTCCCCTGCAGCCCATGGAGGTCCCTATACCAGAGCAGAGGTTGCTCAGAGAAGGCCATGATCCTGTGGGAAGCCTGCACTGGAGCAGGTTTGCTGCAGCACTTGTGACCCAGAAGGGGCCCACGCTGGAGCAACCTGTTCCTGAAGGGCTGCATGACATGGAAGGGACCCATGCTGGAGCAGTTTGTGCAGAACTGCAGCCCATGGGAAAGACTTGGGTTGGGGAAGCTTGTGGAGGACTCTGCCATGGGAGGCACCCCACCCTGGAGCAGAGGAAGAGTGTGAGGAGTCCTTCCCTGAGGAGGAAGGAGCAAGAGAAACAATGTGTGATGAGCAGACCCCACAACTGCCATTCCCCATCCTGTCTGTGCTGTTGTGGGGGTAGGAGGTAGGGAATTCAGGAGGAAAGTGAAGCCCAGAAAGGAGGGAGGGATAGGGAGAAGGTGTTTTTAAGATTTGGTTTTATTTCTCATTATTGTACTCTGATTTGATTAAAGCTGATTTACCCAAGTCGTGCCTGTTTTGCTTGCAGTGGTGATTGGTGAGTCCCTGTCCTTATCTCAACCCCTGAACCTTGCGTTGTATTTTTCTCCCCTATCCATATGAGGAGGGGGGCGATAGAGCGGCTTTGGTGGGCACCTAGAATCCAGCAATGGTCAACCCACCGCAGCTTTACTGTGTGGAACTGCAATTACACACTGAAGTCAGTTCATCTCTCGACGCTACACTTAGGTAGATTTCCTGAGAATGGATGTTTTCGGAGACATGCAGTGGCTCTTACACTGATTACTTTAGCACATTCTTCATGCTTGTATCTAAGGAGAAGTATTTAAGGAATTAGGTTAGCAGTCTTTGTTCTTACAAATATTTTTGCTTGGAGACACCATCGCTGTGTTTGTGTATTCTGTGATTTCAGTGTCGCTTGTGAACCCAGTTTAATTAGATTTGATTTTTTTTTTTTTTTCTTTTTTCAAAGACTTCATTAAAAAATTCCTTTTTCTGCAGTTTGGCACAGAGCACATTGCTGGGTTTCAGGGCTCCTACACACAGCCAAAACCCCCTCAATTCCATTTGTAGTATGTCCTGCTTTCAGCTCTTACTTTTTATTTCAGTTTTTAAATTGCAGTAGTTTATATACACGTATATTCTTTTTTGCAAGCTTCATAAAAAGCAGAGCAGTTTTGTCTAGTGAGGAGCACTGTGGGGATGTATGCACAATAGAAGGCTTGCAAAAGTGAAGGTACAGCCTGTTTCTCAGTGGCAAGAATAGAAACACTTTTAAAAATGAACTATACTTAGATGTTAGCTCTCTTCAGTTTATAAATTAGCCCAGTAAACATTAAGATACTAGGATATTAACCCCAAAGAAGAATATGGAAAATATCAGTCTTTAACAGCTAAATGGTTGTGTATTGTGTTACCTTAGAAGAATCTAGTGTCTGGCTGTATCATCCCAGGCTTGGAAATCATTGTGGACATGCCAGGTGTAACTATTGCACATTGGTATTTTTTCGAATGTGTGGTTTCCTTTGATAATCACATCAAAGCATGCTGACTTTCTTGTTTTGCTACTTTTAAAAGATCTGATCTTCAAGTGCAAACCACATCTGAACGTTGTGATGTCAATAAAATGAGATGTATTCACAAACTTTTCCTGGAGATGCAGCAAAAGAAAATATTAAAGAGCTTCCGTTAGGGTGCTTTTTTCCTTTAATTTTATGCACGATGGATTAAATATATTTTTTTTAACGTATCAGGCAACAGCAGCAGGTTACTCTTGTATTCTGGGAACACTGCTATAATACTTTTTATCACTGGCCATATGTTGAGTTTTCCCTAAGTTGTGTGTGACCTCCACAGCATACTTTCTCCTTGCCTGTTAATTGTCACTTCTGTCCTTCAGTACGTTCATTATTCCAAGTCGGTTTTTATACTTTTCCTGCAAAGTGGCCTCAGGTGGGTGCCTGGTTACAAACATCATAAAGGTTTTTGGGGGTATTTTTTGCCTTAGAGACCAAACAAATATTTCTATAGACATAAATAAGTATTTATATAGAATCACATAGATGACTTAGATTTCAGTATAATCTAGAAGCTACTGCTCAGACAAATTTTGGAGTCAGTTTTGTAATTTTAAATAGAAAAGAACAAAAGAGTGGCTGAAAACCCACAAAAAGTACAAAGCATAAAGTGGTATGGTTTATTTCAGTTAAAACTTAGCAGATCACCGAGTGGTGATGAATATACAGCTCATCAATATATATCTGACTGGTGGAGCAGTTGTTTTCCTAAACTCTGTCATTCATGGAACCTCCATATTTGCTTTCAGGAAACAAAGACGCAATTCTGGGTTCTGGGAGGGGAGCCCCACACACATTTCTTTAATCTTGCTGGGAAAGATGCAGGAGGAGCGTAATGTGGTGAAGGCCAGAGCCATTCTTCTTCCCATAAGCAGTTCCCTAAAGCAGTGTGGTGGCAACCACTTTTTTCTTGTTGTAAGATGAACATATGCTATTAACTTCAAGGTAGGACAGGAGGTTGATAAAGAGCAGGCTGAAAGGCTTTTCAGAAGTTGCTGTTTATTAGTGGGAAAAGCTTTCACAAAGTGGAATGACCCTTGTTTAGCAGTAGCTGCATGTATAATTAAGCCGCCACTCAGATGCCTGAGGGTTTCATTTAATTAGGGTTGATTCATAGTCTCAAAGGAACTGAGAGTTCAGCCTAAAGCTCAGAGTTAAAGGTGTTGTGAAGGCAGTGCTCTATTTCCAATTTGACTAATAGATTATTAGAAGAAAAGAGTCTTTTTGAGACTCTTAGCAGTATGTCTGATAAATAGGCTTTGGTGAGATACGACACTGACCTTAAAACACCTATATTTTATATGCTAGTAGGTTAAACATTACATTCCAAAAGATTTTCTTTTAATAAATATCTATATGCTAATGTAAAAAAAGAGAAGAACTCCAATAAAAACCTGCACAAAACCTCAAAGTTAAATTTCCTGGTATAATAAGAGGGATAGCATTCTAAGCTTTTCTTATTCAGTCTAGCATCGAGTATGTCAGGCCCACAGAGTGAAATTTTCAGAAATGCCCAAGGGGTTTAGTAGCGGAAGCCCCTCTTGATTTCCAGAGAAATTTACACTCCTAAAATTCTTTTGGTAATTACGAAATCCCAGCATACTGTCCACGCAGCATTACCAAACAGCCCTGTGTGCAGCTAAAATATTTTTCATCTCCACTAGGACACCAAAGGGTCAGTTTCATCCTTGGTAAAATCACATACTCGAGTATGAATTTGGCAAATGTGCCTGTAAGCTGGCTCAAGTTCTAGAAAAATTCCTGTATGGGGTTCTGCAATTAACCCCTGTATGTTATTTATTTTTTTAGTGTTACCAAGAAGTGTTGCTTACCAAGACTCAGTAAAGCACATTTTCAATCCAATGAGAGAAAAACTGGTCTTGCAGTTGCGTCAGTTCACTTCCCAGTTTTGTTGAAGAATTTCCTGGATGATTTTGGGCAGATCATTTTAGGCCAGATGCTGCTCCCTCAAGTCATGGTGAATTGTGCGACACTTTGTGACTGCCCATGGACAACAGCATCTGGGCTTTAATATCCCCATTGCTCACACCCTGTAAATTCACTGCAAGGAGTTGCAAAGGGTTTTCATGTGGCAGTGGGAAGATTATCAATAGTCTAATTTTTCTGATTCCTTTTGTTCTTAGTCCTGTTTTACTTTGTAAACTAGCATCCCGTAACTTTATGATGTGATGTCCCCCAAAGTGTGATGCTGCTGGTGTATTAGTATGCAGAGGTTGAGCTGAGAAAGTTCTCTTTTGCCTTGGGCATCCAAATTTGAAAATGCAACTGAACTAAACTAGGAACTAAAGGAACTAAAATCAAGTTTTTAAATGTCTGTGACAAAAATCTCTTGTATATTTACTGGTGAGTTTAAACGTGTCTTACTCTGTAAGTCATTGAGGTATTTGTAAATATAAATGCTCTGCAGAATAAAAAATGGATACATTTCATTTATAAATATTGAAAAAAGCAGCTTCATATTTCTGGAATGTTCTTTTCCCTGTTCTCACCAGAAGACAAGTAACAGAGAGGTTAATCCCTGTTTAGTTATTATTTCATTGCATATTCCTTGTGTAGTTTTGTTTGGTTAAGACTGCTTGGCTTCTGTAAGAAATGGACAGCATGTCTCAGGAAACCTGATGATGTGTACTGTGTTTAGAGCACATCTGATGAATATAGTAGCCTATGTATCTGTAAGAACATAAAGTAGGAAACATTTAATTTTTACTAACATGGTAATATACACGTAGTATTTCTATAGGATCCAGAAGCGTAGTAGGTACCTTACAGCTAAAAATTAAACAGATTTCACTGTTATAAACACTGCTTTCGAAGACCACAGCTGAATAAATAGCATACCTATAGGAGTATTGAAACCAGTCTTGCACGTGACTTTCAGAGGACATAAAATGTCCTTTGGCCAGGCATGCAACTCAAGTAAAGTTTTCGATTTAGTTTTTAGGTATGGGTAATCCAGCTGTTTCTTTTCAATCTTTATAGTGTTTGTTTGTTTTAACAGTGGACCTCCTGAGTCTTTCTGCTGCATGTGATGCCTTGGACCAGCACAATCTCAAACAAAATGACCAGCCGATGGATATTCTGCAGATCATTAACTGCTTGACCACCATTTATGATCGACTAGAACAAGAGCACAATAACCTCGTCAATGTTCCTCTCTGTGTGGACATGTGCCTCAACTGGCTGCTGAATGTCTATGACACGTATGTGTGGGTGCTCTGAACGTGGGGTGCTCAGGAGCTTCCCCGTAGCACAAGGAGAGGGGGGAAGGGTAGCAAGCTGTTTGCCTCATTGTAACATGAGTGGCTTGAAGCTGAAAAAAGGGTAGTTGAAGTGAAAGTTTAATAAACCTAATGCTTTAATGGCTGCATTTAGCTGAATCAATATAGCCCTTGGTTAGGCTTATAATCCTAGATTTATTAAGATAAGGAATGAGAGAGCCAGAATTAAAGCAGATTTCTGTGTTCAGAGCATTACTTGGACTGCATGTCCTCAGTATGTCATAGCTTTGCATGGCTTTTTAATTTACTTAGATAAATAAAAGAGAATTCAAGAGAAACACCATCATATAGACTCTTGCATGTGTCTGTACTTCTGGATGTTAAACCTATTCAGAGCTGTCTATTTTCTATAGTTTTCAATCTATAATTCTTGTTAAAAGATGGAAGAGGCTCATCCCTAATCTAATCTTCTTACAACCATTAGCAGTCAGGAGATTTGAGAAAAATGTCATGTAAAATTAATTTTAGAAAGTGTACCTATAAATGTAAATACAACAGAGTAAATTTCCCCTAAGAAAGTTTACAGGTATTCCTATTCAGTGGGTTAATGAAGTTGCTCATAATACATAGTTAAATTCCAACACAGATTTGTAAGCTAATTTTAGGATAAGCCATTATTTTTTGTTTTGTTGAAGTTAGTGAAAAAAATATGTCAGTGGAAGTTTTTAAGGTTCTTATTAGCCATTTCAGCCAGACATGCTCATTACTGTGGCAGAATAAACATTCCATATAGAAATGGAAGGACATGGGACAATTACTGTATTTGCGTTGGCATTTTGAACCACACTGAAGTGCCTTAACATTGTTCTTCCATCCACCACCCTGTATCACAGCACTGAAGCTTCGATGATCACCTGCAAAAAGTACAGATTTTTACAGTCTCTCCCTACAGGATCACCTCTGATAAGTCGGTTGCTTATAGCATCCTCTGCAGCAGCTGCAATATCCTGTATGGGATTACCAATATTACATTATATTTTTGTGTAGCGTACTGGTAGTAAGGGATGTAGCTATATTCATTTAAGAGTTAAGTTTTACTTCTTTTATCTGCTTTGACTTTCCCAGAGCTCTGATCCACTTCTGAATTACCAACAACCATAAACAACATATAAAAAAGAAACTCAGCAAAAAAACGAAGGTGTGCTAGGGATGTTAATCCAGATCAGCCACATTAGGGGCAAAGAGGGAACTAAAGGTTGTTCCACAAGCCACTCCTAAGATGGACCATCTGGTTTAGATTTGCCATGTCCAATCTAGTTTTCTTTATATTGCACTGTGCTGGAGGTACCACATTAGAATTTATAATTAACTGCCTCTAGGCAGCTCCCTAGGTATGCTCAGGAGCTGCATATTGCAGGATGCAATGAAACAGAGAGGTTTACAGAGAAGTGTTTTATGTGTGAGGAAGCTTGAAGCTATTTTGCCAAAATTCAGGTTTGAATTACTCTGGGAAGAGGGGTGACCTTGGGGTTACGTGTGTTTCATTTTCATTGTAAACTTAATAGGCAGAGATCAACTGAAGTGCATAGCAGTACTGGAGACATTTAATTAAATATACTGGATCTTTACTTTTCTTATAATTGAAAACTGTCGTTTGTAAAGATATTAATCAAATTCACGGTCAATGACTGATCTAGTTATAGGCACAGCTCTGTGAATCTTGCACGTTTCAGATTTGTTTTAACTGATCAGTCACTCATGTTTATTTGCAGTAGCATGTTAAATTATTGGTTTGACTTAGAAGGAGAGGAGAGTGAACCTAACAACTCATGATTCATGCAGGTTTCAATTTAATACACCTTGCAGAGAAATCATCATTCTACATTCTTCTCTTGTATAATTTGCATGAGCCTGGTATTCATCAGGAGTACTTTCTCAGGTCGCAGATGATAATTAATTTGGGAAAGATTTGAAAGACAGGAGTAAGAGGAGTGGAATGTGAAAAGCATAGGTAAACAACAAATGCTTGTTCATGATGAAAAATGCAAGATTCTTTAGTAAAAGGCTGGAAATTCTAAGTTCAGCTTTGTCTACCAGTTAGTCTACGCTTTTCATAGGGTTTGCAGAGGAGGTGTGTGAGCAAATGGGCACCACTGGCTCCTACAACAGTTTCATAGGATTAAAAAGACCACATGCATCTTTGCTGAGCAGTGCAGCCTGATGCACGACTATGGCACACCTGTACATGATTTATTTTATTCCTCATGGTGTTCTTACTGGTGATGCTTCAAAACTGTTGTAAGGCCTGCTTCAAAAATGTCAGTTTTAGGCATTAGCTTCCTCTGTTCTGTGTGTTGTTGTGTATGTCTTTTTTTGCAATACATGTTATCTATTTGAAATGCTAACAGGAATAAAAGTTTTGGGGGAAGCCAGCATCTGGAGGTAAACCAGATGACTGAGAGAAGATGTTAAGGTCTGTCATCGTGCCGCCTGCAGTGCAGAGGAGGATGCTTTTCTTACAGTAGCATTAAAAAGTGAAAGTAATGACACAGGCATGTTACAAGGCAGGAATGAGGGGAAGGCTGACCGGAAGCAGCATGGGAGCTGATGTGGGGCATAGCAGCCCCTTGGCACTGTGTAGGACAGGTCTGAGTGCTGCGAGGAGGAGCTCAGAAACCATGCCATATTGTTAACAGCATAGCTGCACGGCCCACCTGCCTTCTTGTGATTTCTAGGCAAGCTTCCTGAACGTCTTACAAGTGCCTCTGCTGCTGCGCATTGCTGGCAGATACTGCTCTTTCATGCTTAGCTCACTCTTGCCTTCTCAAACAAGTCAGGGCAGAGCTGACAGACAGTAAGCAAAGACTTTCTAAAAACAACTTCTACATCTCATGTCAAATGAAAATGGAGCTATATTGTCTTTGGCAAAAGGGATGATTCGCTGTTCTGACAGGGACCTCAGCTCCTCTGAGAATAGCTCATCAGAAGCCTGTTCAAATAAGTGTTGGGTAAAGACTCTCTACTCTTACTTTATAGTAAAAAAAAGAGGTAATTCTTTCCAAACCAGACTGTTTCTGGTTGAACTGATAAAACAGCACAATCAAATTCAGCTATATCCATGAAGCCACAATCATATTTTATACTTTGTTTCTGATTTGCCTAATAACCAACCAGCATGTGCTGTGCAACATGATTCAGTGGGGGGTGTTGTTTATGATGCCTATGGTACTGCAATGAACTTTGCTATATTAAACAAATTATGGGATGAATGGATCATGTTATCAGCCAACGTTTGTTTCTCATTAGGGGCCGAACAGGAAGGATCCGTGTCTTATCTTTCAAAACCGGTGTTGTATCCCTTTGCAAAGCACACCTGGAAGATAAATACAGATGTAAGTCAACATGATTCTTTTGGGTTTACTTTATGTTTATATTCTAGTTTTATTCCTCCTATTTATTGCATAAACATTTAAGTAGCGTACAGATGTTAATTTGCTCCACCTTGTACTTTCCAGTTACAGGTTCAGACGTGGTTTTAGGTAGTTTAGCACAGAAGACCCCAGACTTTTTGATCATATCCCTAACAGTATGCATGTGAGCATGCACCCTAATAGATTTATTTAGGAATTATATGCATGTACCACACTGTACTAATATATTATGTACATTATAAAACACACAAAAAAAGAAAAACAGATGTGATAAAGATGAAATAAACATTATTTTTAAATCTAATTTTTTAACAGCACAAAAATATTTTCTCACTGCATGCTAATGTGTGGACTGCATTGCACACTCCCTGGGGTATGAGAACTCCTCTTTGGCAACACAAGTTTAGCACACCTTCATACATAAAAATGCATGTCTGCAGGACATCTTGCATTACTCCATTTTAAAATGTGTTAACTTTAAAAAATGCTTTCCACAACGTAGCCAGGTTCTTATGATGTACATTGTGTTTAAATATAGTTGCTACTTTTAAATATATATTAAAGGTATGCAAGTTTTTCATATTTTAATAGGCCAAATCTTGAAATACTTGAAAAAATTCCACTTGAAGTTTCACTTTTATCTTACTAATGCATCAGTTCATTATTGAGGCTAGGATCTGGGAAAGAACTACTGGTTAAGAGTAGTTCTCAAGAGTAACCTTCTAGCTAAATTAAGTGGTATCATTCATGCATTTTAAACGAAACAGCCTTTAGGATTTGACCCAATACCATAGCAATTCTTCATCAATTGTTATTTTATTCTACTAATGGAAGTTGAAGAGTGCTAAGGAGAAAACAGGCAGTTCCAACAATGGAGACTGTGTAATTGGATCAGATTTTGGGGCAAACACTATAAATATCACAGTTTAGATGTCGGGATGTTTCATGTGTGTGTTGTGAAAAGTATTCAGAAAATCTTTTAAGAAAATCACTCAGGATGAATATTTTTCAGAATGATATTTCATTGAGGATTATCAAAAGTTGTAAGGGAAAACCATAACCCCTCTTTTTAAGGTTGTAGAAATGTTTTAATGATGGGGAAATTGAAAGCTGTATAGTTTGTGGGAGAGGAAGAAATTGTCTCTACCAGGCTGTGGTCTGGCTTCACCATTGTCCTGGGTTCAGCAGTAGCAGTCATTTTTCCCCTTCTTGGTAGCTGGTGCAGTGCAGTGTTTTGACTTTCAGCTCAGGAACAGAGCTGATAACAAGGATATTTTGGTTTGGCCAAGGACTTTGTGAGCCTCATGCTCTGCCAGGGAGGAGGGGAAGCCAGGAGGAAGCAGAGACAGGACACCTGACCCAAGTTAGCCAAAGAGGTATTCCATACCACAGCACGTCATGCCCAGGATGCAACTGGGAGTTAGCCGGAAGGGCTGGGGACTGCAGGGTTGGAGGAGGTATCGGTCAGAGCTTGGTCGGGCTGGGGGGGGCGAGTTATCGGTCGGCTGGTGGTGAGATGATGTATTCTCTTCCCTTGTTATTTCCTTTATCATTATTATCATTGGTGGTAGCAGTAGTGATTTGTGTTATACCTTAGTTACTAAACTGTTCTTATCTCAACCCGTGGGAGTTGCATTCTTTTCGATTCTCCTCTCCGTCCCTCCGAGAGCAGGGGGAGGGCAAGAAAGGGGGGGAAGTGAGCGAACGAATTACCTGACTGTGTTTAAACCACGACAGTTCTTTTTGGCGCCCAACGTGGGGCACGAAGGGTTGAGATAACGACAGATCTGACCGGATTAATAGTCACTCATCACAATGACGATTTATTGGCTCTCAGAGTTGTTTCTCTTGATCTCACAGCTTCAGAATGTTGTAACTTACGTAGAGCCGGTATTTGCTGTGTTAGTGTTTATCAAGTATGGGGCCTGGGCTAAGGTTCTTGTCTCACTGTGCTTTATGGCAATGGCTTGTAATACGGGCGGGCTCCAGCAGCAGGGCGGGACGGACGTGGCCGTGGACTTGTACCTGGCCGTCCGGCTGCTCTTCACCGTCCTGGCCCTCGCCCTACTCTCCATCTTCGTGAGGCTGCGGGGAGCTGAGGGGGAGCGGCCCCGGGAGCCGGCGGCAGCCAAACCGGCCCGGGAGAGCGGCCCCGGGGACCAAGCGGCGGCGGGAGCGGGGCCGGAGGCCGCGAGGGGACGGCGGCCGGTGGGGGAGGCCGGAGCGGTCGAGGAGCGGAAGGAAGGGGCTGCCGAGCAGCGGGAGAAGGCGGCGGAGGAGCCAAGCCCCGCGGAAGAGCCGAGCCCCGCGGCCGAGCCGAGCCCCGCGGCCGAACCGAGCCCCGCGGAGGAGCCCAGCCCCGCGGAGGAGCCCAGCCCCGCGACGGCCGAGAGCATTTCCCGGAAGCCGCCCGCCGAGCCCCAGGAGGATGCAGGAGACCGCGCAGCATTTCCCAGCAAGGCAGAGGAGGAAGAGCTGGACTCAGGAAAAGAGAAGCTGGCGGTGGGAGAGCCGGCAAGCACAGCAGCTACACCAGCCCCAGTGACAAGTACAGCAGCTACACCAGCCCCAGTGACAAGCACAGCAGCATCAACTGAGAGTTCTGAAGGTTTTGAATGGCCTTTGGGTATCCTTGGGACCTGCCTGCTGATTGTGATGGGGATCAGCATGTTGGCACACACACAGACTGTGTTCTACCCACCACCATTTTGTTTGATCTCAAAAGTTAAGCAGAGTCAGGTTTGGGTCTTGTCTGGGGTTAGACGAGGATATAGGGGGACCAAGAGGTTTTCCCCAAGGCTGGACAGTCATGAGTGGCAGGGTGTGTGGGACAGTATGGGCAAGTATCTAGTCCACTGGGCCCCTCCAGTGCTTTGGAAGCATCGGAGATGGAAGGCAGCTGTATGGAGTCCCCAGCAACAAGCTGCAGAAACTGCTGAAGGGGACAGTGAATTATTTTGAGCCTGGTGGGCCCAATGCACTTCAGACCATCAGAGCAGAGATGCAACACAGAGATGGACTCATGATCGAGGGGTGGACTTAGCAATGGACACTATTGCCCAGGTTATTCACGAGTGTGAACACTGCACACAGTCTCTCCTGCTCTGGAAGGCTGTTACAAGAGATGGAGCCTGACATCATGGACCAGATGGACTCAGCAGCTTTATAGGGACTGGTCCATGCACTGAGATAAGAGTGATGGTATACTGAAAATGTGGGATCTGAGCATGACGTGAATGGTATGGAATAAGGGGTGGATAATGTCCTGGGTTCAGCAGTAGCAGTCATTTTTCCCCTTCTTGGTAGCTGGTGCAGTGCAGTGTTTTGACTTTCAGCTCAGGAACAGAGCTGATAACAAGGATATTTTGGTTTGGCCAAGGACTTTGTGAGCCTCATGCTCTGCCAGGGAGGAGGGGAAGCCAGGAGGAAGCAGAGACAGGACACCTGACCCAAGTTAGCCAAAGAGGTATTCCATACCACAGCACGTCATGCCCAGGATGCAACTGGGAGTTAGCCGGAAGGGCTGGGGACTGCAGGGTTGGAGGAGGTATCGGTCAGAGCTTGGTCGGGCTGGGGGGGGCGAGTTATCGGTCGGCTGGTGGTGAGATGATGTATTCTCTTCCCTTGTTATTTCCTTTATCATTATTATCATTGGTGGTAGCAGTAGTGATTTGTGTTATACCTTAGTTACTAAACTGTTCTTATCTCAACCCGTGGGAGTTGCATTCTTTTCGATTCTCCTCTCCGTCCCTCCGAGAGCAGGGGGAGGGCAAGAAAGGGGGGGAAGTGAGCGAACGAATTACCTGACTGTGTTTAAACCACGACAACCATCCATGTTGAAGTTGTGCTGCAGTTGCTATTAGTATTGCTGCAAGTATGTGATGAGTTGCACCTTTTAGAGTTTTTTTCTCATTTGTGCAGCTGAGCAGAGTTAGTTATTCTGGAGCACAACCAACTTCAGGCTTGCAGAGGTGATGGAAAGATCTATCCCCAAATTATTTATTATAAAAATAGACTAGTCAAGAGTGAAGTTCATGTAATTAAAAAACAATCCTTTCTCTATCCATTCCTTTATTCCTTCAGAAGAGAACAGGTGTCAAAGCAGCACTAGGAAAGTTATCTCGAGTAGTGATGAAGCACCTTTGTAATTGTATCCCTGGTGTCATATAAAATACTAAGGCAGCTCTAAAAAGTAAGAAGAATTTATTCAGGTCATATATTGTCAACAGGGAGATTACCAAATAAATATTTCAGTCAAGGCAAACCTGATTTTTCTTCTTATGAATTCTAAAACCTCCTCAATGTATATGTAGTATAACTAATTCCCACCAAATTAAATTGAGCTTACAAAGGGATAAAAATTCTGTCCTATAAGGATTCTTTTTAGAATGATGCAGTAACAAGTCATAGCTTCAAATGACATTTCACTTTGGAAGTGAAAACTTAATATGATATTAACATTCTCAGTGGACGGCAGGTTCTGTCATACTGTAATGCTTTTCTTTCATTTTAGAAATACTCTTGGATTAAAAGATCACAATATATTGAAATCATGGAGTTCTTGTTTTTCAGTTCAACTTGTCTGAAAGAGAAATGGATTCTCTTGAGTTGTATGTTGATTGCTAAGACTTGAAAATGTACTGTCTGCTGTATGAGATTATTTTATAATTAAACAATGTTTTTAAAACACTTGTGTTGTTGTGGCTCAAAGATCCTGCTGTTTAGTTAGCTGTGTTCGAGAACACACCTGTTAGCCACAGGTGCTGTGTTAGAATGGCCTCTCTCCCCAGTACAAGCCAATATTGCTATTAAAAGCTATCACTAGACTGCATATTTTACAGAAAAAAAAACAGCGTTTATGGAAAGAGAAGGAGCCAAACTTAAGCCATGCTTATGTTTATGTCCACCAAGGCTGTTGAGCACACTTGCAAGCCTTTGACATGATGCATGCTATTTGCCATATCCCTGTAGCAATGCCTTACTTAGCTCTGGTGTCATTTTCCTTCCTCCAGACCTGTTCAAGCAAGTGGCAAGCTCCACTGGCTTCTGTGACCAGCGCCGACTGGGGCTCCTGCTGCACGACTCCATTCAGATTCCTCGGCAGCTGGGGGAAGTGGCCTCTTTCGGGGGCAGCAATATCGAGCCGAGTGTCAGAAGCTGCTTCCAGTTCGTAAGTTCATGCTTCCTTGCTGTTAATTTTCTGATTTGTATTTCATGTCGAAGTAGCCTGTCTGTTCTGAAGAGAGCTGAAAATCTGGAAGACAGATTAGGGTACCGAGGGCTGTTTCATGGTAGTGTTCATTGGTCTATTAAACTGTTCCTTTGATAAGATTTATTTGAATTAGCCTGTTTCTCTGGCTGTGGTAGAAGAAGCCCAGATTATGCTGTTATCCAGACAGCAAATAGTTGTCATCATGTTTTATATTGTAACTGAACCTTGCAAAGAGTTTAAGTCTTTGTTACTGCAGCTTCTGGTTTTACAAGTTTCTGTTTCCAGCAGTAGATCACCATTTATTGCTGTTGTGTAGGTGAACAGCAATGGTTAATCTAAATTTGGGGCATATACATACCAGTGACCGCCAGGTGCTCAGGGGAGCATAGGAAAGGAGCAATTGCCTGCAGTGCTGTCCAGGGACTAGGAGTGCTCAATGAGCTCCTTCCACTGCTTGAATGGATAATGCCCATTTTCTTTAAGGATTAGTGAGAGAATTCTTGTCCTGTCTGTTGAGGAACACACAGCAAACTGGAGGCTCTTTTTCAAACTTGTGAATTATTTAATCTGGGAAGGAAGAGAGTTAGGGAATTATTCATCCTTATCCTAACCGCCAGCAGAATGCACAAGATGAAGGCAGCTGCTTAATGAAAAGGTAGAGGAGGGGAGGTAATGTATAGTCTGTGATTAACTCTCAATGCATCTTCTGCATAACAATGGAAGAAATCCCATTACCTAACTGTCCCTGGGGGATTTTTTGTTTGGTTGGGGGCGGGGGAGTTGTTTGCTTTTTTGCCTGCTGCTCAAGTTTCATTATGTAGTGGTTTCAGTTCTGTAGTAAGCAAAACACAGCAAGTTTTTTTTTCAATGAATATTAATGCTTGAAAGTAGTCTTCTTGCACAGTGACTACGAAAAGAATCTAATTCTAAAATCGCTACAAACATCAGTTGTGAGGGGACATTTGCTGTATTTTTAAAATTTTCAACAGATTAATTCAACAGGGTTCACATTTTCCCATTTCCATCATTCATGTCTTGATCTTTTATAATTCTAATATATATTTGATGCCATTTCCAAACTGATGTTGTATAGGGCCGTATAACCCATGCTGATAAATTCTGTGTAGTAATGTTGATAGTTGTGTTAGACCCTGCTGTGGCTTTTAAGCTTCAAGTTTCATGTTGAGCTTTCAGGTGACGCAAGCACAAAATGATGCTGCAGCAAATCCATGGTCAAAAGCTCATTTGTTCAAATGACCTTCCTTAGAAATTAGGACTGCTCGAATCCTATCATTTCCCCAGGTGAATGGCAACAGTGCTGGGAACATTGTTGAAAACCTGACAAAAGTGACCTTGGAATCTAGCAAACCCATGGGTTTTTGGAAAGGGGGCTGCAATTCTGTGTGTTTATACAAGGAAGAAAACAATAAAATTCATTGTGGTGGGGGACATAAAACCAGTTTTTATAAAGTAGGAAGACAGCCTTGGAATAAATGTTTATTTGAATACAATGAGTTTGCAACATTGTCATTACAAATGAAGACATGCCACTGAACCGAATACCATACCGCTTCCAGCTGCTGGCATTTCTAGAAACAGCCCAAACAAGCTGGACACAACCTTTGACACATTCATAAATCAGAAGGTAGAAAAACCTGAGGTTTCCTTCTCTTACCTGCACTGAAAAGTAGGTTTTCTTCTTATTTGCAATAAGAGAAATTGCATTCTTTTTTCTTCTCATTTTAACTTGCAGAGTGGAGGGTGATTTCTGACCTGGGTTGTGGCAGAACAGACAGTCTTCCAGGAAGACCAGCAAGTGGGGGGAGGCTCAGCTGAGGAGGGTGTCCTGGGTTCAGCAGTAGCAGTCATTTTTTCTCCTTCCTAGTAGCTGGTGCAGCGCTATGTTTTTGACTTTCAGCCTGGGAACAGCAATGGTAACACCGATGTTTTTAGTTACTGCTCAAATGTTTAGTCTGACCAAGGACTTTGTGAGTCTCATGGTCTGCTAGGGAGGAGGGGAAGCTGGGAGGAAGCAGAGACAGGACACCTGCCCCAAATTAGACAAAGAGGTATTCCATACCACAGTATGTCATGCCCAGGGTGTAACTGGGGGTTACCTGGAAGGGCTAGTTCACTGTGGGGTTGGTCCAGGTATCAGTCGGTGCTTGGTTGGGCTGGGTATTATCAGTCGGCGGGTGGTATCGTATCCTCTTCCCTTGTTATTTCCCTTATCATTATTATTATTGGTGGTAGCAGCAGCGGTTTGTATTACACCTTAGTTACTAAACTGTTCTTATCTCAACCTGTGGGAGTTACATTCTTTCCATTCTCCTCCCCATCCCTCCGGGAGCAGGAGAAGGGGGGGAAAGGGTGGGGTGGAGGTGGGGAGTGGACTGCGTGGCTAACTTGACGACAGGGTTTAAACCACGACAGAGGGGGAATACAAAAATATATGGGAGGGAGCCCTAGGGAGAGGAACAACATGGGGAGAACCCTCATGGAGTGGAGATAGAAGGAACTAGGAGCAGAAAAATAACAGGCACCCTTTGGGAACACTGGTAAGAGCAGTAGTAGGAATAACAGTGATGAAGGAAGCAGAAGGGTGGGCGGGAGGAGGCACAAAAGAAAGGAGCAGCCAAGATTGGAGATGTGGGAAGAAGCAAGACCTTTCCAGAAGACAGGCACAGAGACTTTCTTTGGGTGTAGGATGGCGGTGCATGGAGGGCTTAAGGGTGCAGGGCCTGGGGGGCAGCACAGAGGTGCTGGGGGAGAGCAGGGAGCAGCCTGGGAAACAGAGCAGCTGGAGGAGCTGGGTAGCCAAGGAGGGTTGCACAAGGCTCCCAGTGGCCTCCTTTTAGGGGAGTGCGATAATTCAATTATTAAAAGTACTGTGAGGATCCATAGTTTACATGACTGTGTGGAACTAAATTAAGTCTTTCTTTGTACTCCCACAGTGAGGAGTGCTTTTTCTTTAGGGTTTGTTTGGGTTTTTTTTTCCTTTCTGGTGATGACAGACCAGCAATAAGTTGCGGTCATGTCAGAGTCTGCAACAAATGTGTGCTTCAGAAATGGCTCTCCCAGCCCCCTTAGGTTAGGTGCCCTGGCAACGGCCTTGTCTGCCTGCACAACAGAAGGAGTAAAAGGGATGTTTACCATTCCCTGCAATAACAGGGGAAATCTCCTGCTTTTCAGTCTGAAGTGGGAGTCCTTGGGAATGAGGGTTGAGGAGGAGGGGCTTCCCAGGCCAGCTGTTGGGAGCAGCTTCCCTGCTGCCCACTCCTGCCTGCACTCTGGGTCCACTTACCCCAGGATGCTGCTGCTGTCCTGGTGCTTTTCATCCCCCCCCAGCACCAACTCTTACTCTCCATAGTTTCCTTCATATATGGGAAGGTGCTGATAGTAATTGTTGGGAGAAGTGCATTATGGGACTCATCTTTGCTACGTGGGGTAGGGGGATCTAATTTGTGCATTGAGATTTTAAAGAAAAAATATTTTTACACCAGAGAAAAGAGCTTGATCTAAGGACCATTTCAAGACTATGTAGTTCTGCCTGGGCTCAGACTGCATCAAAGCAATCTATAGATCCATGAAAAATTGTGTGAATGCAGTATTACTGCAGTGTGAAAGCACTTTCCTTTTAGTTCTGTGACGGGTACTCTTTTTTTTTTTTAAATAAACAGGATAGGGAATTGATATGGACTGAAGGACACACACACTGTTTTAACCACAGTGGGAAATTATTAATATGCTTTCCTTGTATACTGTAAATAGGACTTAGGAATTCACATCACTGCCTTGCATGAGTTACTGTGACACTAGGGCTTTTAAGAAATGTGATGTGAAAACAGAATGCAGCTGAGATGAAAATGTCTCTTGCTGTTTCTCAGTAAACTCTTGGGTATTTGGTTCTTGGGTATAAACTACTTTAAGTATGCTTTCCTGCAAGGGTGTGCTTGATGTGACAAGCTAGTACAGATAAAGGTAAGGAGTAATGAAATGAGTACAGTTAATTCAAGTTTGTATTTTAAACCTCGTTTCATTTTCACTTTAACAGAGGAAAGTATTTTGATATTCTGTTTTGTAGTCTTAAATTCTAGGTTTATACTTGTTCAATGATATGGCAAGATCAGCCTGTTGTTAACAACCACATAAATGTGTCCAAATCCATTGTGTTTACTCAGGCAAATAAAAGCCAAAATAGGAGCTTGTTAGTCCTTTAAGGTGGAGTTTGGGTATGGCAAATTCTGGGCCAGGACCCTGATAGTGACTTTAGCCATAAATGCTGTGATTTGAATTGATTGGGTGGTCGTTTTGTGAAGGGTGTGTTTTGGGGGGGGGGGGGGGTGTTGTTGTTGTTGCTGGGGTTTTGGGTTTTTTTTAATCAGTTAATACTGTGTACAAATACCTACATATAGTTATATAGAGGTCTATATGAAAATAATGTACAAATGCAACGTTACTCTTGAGGGACTCGATCTTTTTTGGGAGATCCAGGAAGCTCTTTTTTCTATTCATAGGATAATTCTTCTCCTTTGGCTGATACGGGAGAACTGGCCTAAGGAACTAGCAAATCCTTCCTCAAGCTGCTATGCTGTTAATGTCATAGAATCCTAGAATAGTTAGGGTTGGAAAGGACCTTAAGATCTAGTTCCAACCCCCCTGCCATGGGCAGGGACACCTCACACCCAAAGCTCTGTCCAACCTGGCCTTGAACACCGCCAGGAATGGAGCATTCACCAGAATGTCATAAACCAGCAATTTGGGGTTTGTTTCAGCAAGGGTTTGAGAACCTGTGCCTGACTTTGGGGGAGGCACTCTTGAAGAGTTCTCCAAGTGAACTGCTTTGGAGAGCTATTTTAAAGTGATTTAGGGGTGGGGAGCAGGAAGATGCTGCTTTTCAAGTGTGGATGATATAAAGCTGTACACTAATTCACTTCTGGGTTCATGTTTTTTTTAATCTTATTACTCTTTTCCACATTGCTAAAACATTGACTGGAGGAGTCAATGCAATCAAGTGTAATGCAAGAGTGGATGACAAGGTTGAACAGGGTTTGTTCTGCCTCCGGGGGGACAGGACTGCTGTTCATGGCCTGCTCTGCATCTTTAAACTTTAACAAGTCATAAGAATCCAGTTCCTCAGTTTTGTTTGTCCAAGATAATATTTACCTAAACTAACATAAAGCTTTCCATCCCAGATGAAAAATGCCATTAAACTAACAATGTTAATCTATTTCCAGTTAATCTCCTACACTGCATGTAAACAGAATATAGCTCATCAAAAAATGTTATCAGACATTTCTGCTATATTGTCTGATTTTGCCAAAAAATACGTCACATTGTTCATATCAAACCATGACTCTATTTTGGAGCATATTTTATATTATGGATAGATAAAGTTAATATAGCACAGGATATTTTTTTTAAACTACTAGCTGGAATAAGACAGGGGGAAAAAAGCCCTGAAGGTTTCAACTGCCAAGTATTGCATGAAGATGCTAGCACAACCCGACTTCCTATTCCCCCATTGTTTCTGCAGAATAAATACTGAAAAACAGATGTCTGGAACATAATGAATTTGAATGTCTCCCATAACAAATTGTTACTTGTAAGCTGGAAAGGGCTTTATGAATTCTATTTTATGATTCACTCAGTTATTACCATAAAAATCACGAGTTGCACAGAAATGTGTTCAAGAGAAGAACCATTAATATTCTTTACAGCTTAATCTTGTTGGTTCAGATACAAACTGTATGAATTCAGACTTTTCCCCTTATGCAAAATCTTCAGCTGCTGCCTTTACCGGATTTAGAGATTATTAACAAAATCGCAAGAGCAGCTCAGGGAACATTCAAGAACTGTCTGTCCTATGCCATCTGACCCTGACCAGCTTTCCTTCACGTGGCTTTAAATCTTCATGTAATATAATTCGGAACCAGTTCTGATACATTTTAATGCACCTAATCTCTCTGAGCACGGGTTTTGTACAGCCAGCACCGTGGAGCTCTGGGTACGCAGCTATTGGGGCTGCTGGCAGTCGGTGGTGACTGCAAAATTAAAATAGATCTTTGGATGTTACAGAAAGTCTTTCACTCTGCAGCATTTCCCTTGCAAATTTAAAGCAGCTACAAGGGAAGATCAGCGCTTTGAGCAGCTCATTCTTATTCTGACTGCAGCTTGCACTGCAGCATTTCTGTACTCTTCATGGTTCTTTATTAGAAATGGCATATTAAAGAGATCCTCAAATTTTTTTGGAGGCTTAGAGGACCTCTGTGTAGAAAGTGTAATGTTTTGCCAGTGTAGTTCCTGGCTCACTGAGTGAGCCCCAGAAAATCTCTCCCCAGCCCCTGTACTGCCCTGGCTGCTAGCTGAAGGACAGACATCTAGATGATCATTTTTATAAATACGCCTTTCTTTTACGAGAGCTCTAGATTTAATTTTGTTGAATCCACTGATGTCCTGCAGCAGAACGTGGTATCTGGTGTTCCAAACAATTCCTGTTGCCAGTGTTGGCTGGACTTTATTGTACTTTTGATTTTCTCCCTTTTTCTTTGGAAGGGGTTCCTAAATCCTGTAGCATCATGAAAAAACAGAGAAGCAGGATTTAATGCAGAAGCCTTTAGAAATATTGCAGTGTGTGGAAAACAAAGCAAAGCTAAAAAGGTTATTCTATTTCATATAAGACCTGTAGTTAAATCATGAGGGACTTTATCAGGATTAACTGTAGATATGTTGTGGTTTGATGATTTTGCCCCAAACATCCAAAAAGGATTCATATGACTATATTAAAAATCCTTATATGTGGTTCTTAAATGCAGTGATAGGAGTCTGTAGATGGTTTCCCAAACTTGTATTTTAAGAAGAAAGCCTTGATCAGAAAAATCTCTTTGTTTCTAATTAACCAAAGTATTACAGCAGCATTTAATGCATTGCATTAAAGGTCCATTTTAATACAATGCATCATTCAGGAGATATTCCCTTGTTGGTTTGTTTAGGGCTTTTTCCACATCTTTCTTGTGGCCAGGGGTTCTGTCTTGGAGACTGCATTTTTCTCAGTCTCTAAGTATTGATCAGTTAATATGTTTGTCAAGATTATAAACAGTGTTAGCTTTAAAAACAAACAAGCAAAACCCACAAACCCAATAGCAACAAACAACCCCACACACACCTAATGGGTTTTCCTTATAGTGCTCTCTCCTTGTTGTGATATTTTTCCTTCAAATTAGTGCCTAGCGTTTTTAGCTTAATAAGGTTTTAGCTGTGCCATACTACACTCAGATTTCTTGAGAAACTGGAAAAGCAGCTGAGACTAACTGTAAAAAACTCCAGTACTCAATCCCCTCTTCATCTTGGTCCATGTACATGATACATTAATGCTTATTATTTATTTAAATGCTTCAAATAGGTTTGGAACCACAAAGGAAGACAGACTGCCTTGTGAAGTTTGAAATACAAAAGACTGGCCCACTGAGGGCTGTGTTTGAAAGTCCAAAGAAAAGAGCAACAGAGGATTTAAATATATTCAGCCCATAAATATGCTGTTTCTGTTGGGTAGAATGGAAGGAAATGTCTCAGGGAATTTCAATTAGCACAAGTGGTGGTTTAGAGAAATGGAGCAGGTTGCTATCCTGCTTCATCACTTGGGCTGTTCCCTGTGAAGACCTGTGCTCCTCCCTCCTGTCCTTCCCTTAACTGTTTTCACCTGATCCGTCAACTCTCTTTCAGTGTTGAAACCAGCTTCCAGGTTCTCAGATAACCACTTTTATGCTGGCTTCTTACCATCCTGCACACTGGAGGTATAGTCCCCATAAACACTGACTGTCACGTCACTGTTTTCCTTAAAACCCCTTTGAATGTTCTTTGCCTTTATTCTGCACTGTTCTTTGCAGTGGCTAGCCTGACCTCTACCCATCCAGATAGATCACTGTTATCCCCCTTTGCCTTGTGTTTGTTGTCCCTTTGCTGTTTGTTTTTCCATAGTGTATGTGCTGCCAGGGAGGGCTGATACATCAGTTTTCCGTGTGTGTATGGTGCCTGTTGCAGTGGGATTGAGCTCTGATTGAGCTGCCTCAAAGTTACCATCAAAGAGATACCTGAAATAATCACACTGGTTAGAATGTGATAGGAAGGCAGCAGAGGAATGGGGCTGCCAGGAAGCGTTCATAGACTCTTTGCTGTTCTCAAAGAGGTGAAAGTGGGAAGGAGTAGAATATAAGGCTAAATCATTTGTATTCTGTGGGACAAGACTGTGTTGTGTTTTTAGGCAGTAACAAGAAATTTAGAGATGATGTGGTGTGAAGAGTTGATTTTGAGTCATTTAAGGAGGCAGAGTTCACATGTTCAACAGCAGGCTTGAGAAAGGATTTGAATGATTTCCTTATGTCTGTGTTTTGAAGAATGGTGTGATAATGATTTTAAGGAGAAAGGAATTTTGATCAAAAGACATGGAGTTTTTAGTGCTTGGATAACACAAACTGTGTCTAAAATAGGTGAGAAGCAGTGCTATGGGGGTTTGGATCAGAGAGACAGGAAACACGAGATCAGGTATGAAAGGTGATGCTCTAAGTGAATGATTTTCTCTGTGACAAAGTGTATAGTAGTGATGTCTATTGTAAGAGGGAATTAGAGATTTGAAACATTTGTAGTAGTAGTTTCAGTTCCTGGCTTGAAGGCAGGATCCTGGAGATTATTTTTATTTTATTTACAAATGGCTGGATTGGGTGAAAAGCTGGACAGATAATGGAGTAGGCAGGAAGCAAACAGCTTGAACTGTTACTTAGCTGGTAGTAGTTAAATCACTTGTGCTCATCCTCTGTCTTTCTCCCCTTGTGTTGCAGGCCAACAACAAACCAGAGATTGAAGCAGCCCTTTTCCTGGACTGGATGAGGCTGGAACCACAGTCTATGGTGTGGCTGCCCGTCTTGCACAGGGTGGCTGCTGCTGAGACCGCCAAACACCAAGCGAAGTGTAACATCTGCAAGGAGTGCCCAATTATTGGATTCAGGTACAAACTCACTCCCTTTCTGCCATGTGTACAGCTGCATAGTAGGTCCAGAGCTCTGCTTGTTTCCAGACAAATCAAGTGCTTGATTTTATGCATTTTGTTCAAGGAAAAAATAACTGTGATGGGCCATGAGGGAGAGTAACACCTAGACTGAGTACAGCGATGCAAGAGTTGATGAGGACAGTTCATCTGTCAGTTATGATATGGCACTTCCTCTGTGTCCCAGTCTTTCCGTGCTTCAACTAAAGTATTGGTGGATTGCACAACTAGAACTATTTGCTTTACATTCAGTGTCCCATATATGCAGTTACATTTTCTGAACCGGATCCTAACAAATTGCTTTCTATCAGGGGCAGGGAAATGCTTTGGAAATTCACAGACTGTAAAGCTACGTGTGTGTTTCTCAGAGAAAGAATGTTGTTGGTAGAACATTAACCTGGAGTGGGGGAAATGTTACTGGTCTCTTTAAACATCTGGATCGACACTATGGTTACTATGGCAATGAATAAGTCACTGTGTTGTAAAATGGCTGTGTGTTGGTATGCCTGTTGAGAATCCACTTAACGGCTAAGTAAATACTCACTTTCAATTATGCCTAGACTTGTTTTATCACTTTGCTTCGCAATAGCTGCTTTGTATGGTTTCTGTCCTTTTTATGCTGGGTCGTCTTTTACCGTTGTCATTTGTCCTTCTATGGTATTGTGTTGTTTACAAAGAACTTGCTGTAATTTTGTTTCTAAAACCCAGATAGACAACAGGAGCAAGCAGTATCACAATAGAAAAGCCATCATTTTGCTTTAAATGTGAGAGTATGAATGTTGCTTTTATGCATGTAATGGGGCAGTTCTTTCTAGTATGCAATTTCATGGGCAGTGGGAAACGGGAAAAAATGGAGGTATTTCTTTGATTTGAATCCCAGGTCTCTTCAGGGAGGCTGTTTCTCTGATCACCTAAATTATTCTCCTCTTGCTCTTATTCCTCTTGAATATCTTAACTGGGAAATGATAAGTATTACTGAGGAAGAGGTAGGGATGAGAAGTGAGCAGTTCAACACATTCACAAAGGCTAATTTTCCCATTCCCAGATACAGTTTATGAACTACTGAATTACTTACACAGTTTTATATAAACAGCCAAAGACAGTAGGTGGAATTGAAAAATGCAGCGCTTGGAAAATCAAAGGATAGCAAGTGAATGGATAGTCTGTAGTGAGCGTCGAGAACTCGGGAAGTAGACACTGGATCTCTATGTTTTCATCTAATTTTACTTGACTGATCTCATCTGTCTCTTAAATTTATATAACAAATCTATTATCATGATAGTAGAATCTGTCTGTCGCAGATTTTTTTTCTGGCTTTGCAAGCCACTGAAACCCTGTGTACACACTTGACAAAAAGATACTGTATTGGAAGGCTTTTAGAAAGCTAATACTGTGTGTCTCAGTACATGTAAAACAACGTTCTTTTGAGGTCATTGTGACTGAACTGCTTCGCGTATTTGGAACAAGACAACCCTTATGCCTCTAGCTCTTTCAGGCACTTCAGCATAGCAGATACAGCAGTTAGCTACCTCACAGAGCTGATGAGGTTAAATAATGGCCCAAAAGGGCGTTCAGAGTTTTGCATGGATGGAATGCCATACAGGAAAATTGTTTTGTTAGAGGTGATAGGAAAGTCACAAATTCCTGCCTTGTATGCAGCAGTTAGGAGTTTGTTGGAGTGACTTGTTGAGAAGAGCATTACTTACTTGAATTTTACTTCTTCAGATTTTCTGTGTTAGGAATCATGCTGAAGAGCCAAAGAACTAAAATTGGCGTTACAGAAACAAAAAGCATGGTGGTGTCTCTCCTCTTTTAAGAGTGAGTGTGTAAAAATTTTTCAGTGTTGCCCAGTGTTAAAACTGTTTTTGAAGATTCAGATCTTTGATAAACATCTAAGGCAGCAATACTGGTCCCTTGGTAGCAGAGGGGCATTGCCAAGCATTGCACACTGTGTGACATCTCGGGGAAGAGAATTTACTAGCAGAGAAAACTTGGCAAGCTGATATGAAGTGTTCACATACAAATCTCTGAAGCTGTGAATTTTTTGCTCCTCTTTTAGGTACAGAAGTTTAAAGCACTTTAACTATGACATCTGCCAAAGTTGCTTCTTCTCTGGCCGTGTGGCAAAAGGTCATAAAATGCACTACCCCATGGTGGAGTACTGCACACCAGTAAGTAGCTGTTTTACTGACACTTACTGCTCCTTCTTATGTAGAAAGGAAAAACTTCATTTCATGTGTGTAAGGTAATGGAGCATTTGGGTGGCTTTTCTTTTCCCTCTCCATCTCCCCCTCTCTGATTAAATCCCTTTTTATATATTGTATATGCCAGCAATTTCTGATGCTTGGTAAAGGATACTTCAGCGGTTTGAAGTAAATTGAAGTTCATTGTTTGTACAATGCTGTGTTGTAATGTATTATTGTGTGCTAATGACTTGTTCCATGTTCAGTGCCAAAGTTCACTTTATGGATCCTGCAGGAAGCCTGTGATTTGTGCAAATACTTGTTCGTATCTTAGGTCACAATGTTTTCTACATATCAGTGTGAGATTTTTCTTCCTTTCCTCAGCAAATTGCCACTTCACTTTTTTCCCTGCAATACTGTGATTGCGTTTTTGAGTTCTCTACTACATAGTGGTACCTTGGTACTGTATAATCATTTGATGATATAAAATACCAGGGAAGTTCTCAAGAATAGCAAGTTAGATTTCATTACTGAAGACTGGAAGCTGATTTCACACACAATGCAGATGTGCTGCATTGATGGTGTGGTGAGGGTCTTCAGCCTTGTTTCACAGCTTTCAAAAGGAGCATTTTTGCGTAAACATTTCTTTCTTACCAGAAAGCTGGAAAGGAAATTCCATTTTACTCTTTCAGTGTAAAAAACCTGCTTTTTGGTTTGGGCCGCTCTTGGCCCCACCAGCACAGAGGGGCATAAATTAGAGGATCTCTCATGTTGTTCTTCCATGATGCAGCACAACTGAGCTTTTTGCTGCCTTTGCTATTGTTCATGGTGGTATTGAAGAGTGTGCTCTCTGGTTGTCATTTGCTGGTGTGATGGGATGGACCCTAGTCTCATACCTTCATCTGCTGGTCAAATATATATGGTGAAAATAAAGCATCAAAACTATTTTAAAGTCTAGCTTTATAAAATTTTATGAATGGTCTTTATGTCTTCATCCAAACAGAAAGGCATGGCCAAAATGAAGTAAAAACTCAGCTTTTCTTAGAAACTTAGGAAAGGGAAAAAAAGAAATTATTCCCCTAAAATACTGCAGTAAAGCAAACCCAGTGTATTTATTTACATTACCTATGAACTTTTACTGTAGCATTTAAATGGCAGTATTTAATCTGAATCACTGCAAGGGCAACTACTGTGAATTTGCTAGCTGTTTGTCAGTGTTCACTGGCGGCTGCTTTTCAGCGTCACCCCCCAGGGGTTGAGGCTACTGGAAAGGGCGATTTGCCTGAACTGCTGCACACGTCAGAGGGAAATGCTGGCACTGCCTGGGCAGGTTTGAACAGACTCCTCCATCACAGGCATTCCTAGAGCAGAATCTCATGATCAGCGTTGTATACAGAGCCAGCAAGCGAGCGACCGACCTTTTTAGAGCATTCCTTCCAGCTGCAGCTGAATATCTCCTTGATGGATTGGCTACAGTTTTGTTTTGCAGTTTGCCACCCTCATTCTTGCTAATAAGTAACATGGGAGATTTGTGAATGGTGCAGAGAATGCACAAACCAACTTCTTGCTATTATTTTCTTACCCTATTCATAAGATGTGTTTTGAAGAGAGAGAAAGGAAAAAGGATTGTGAGACACTCCCACAGCCAGCAGCAAGTCGTTGCCACACAAGGTCCAGCAGGTTTTTGTTCTCCCTGGAAAAAGAGATTACTAATAGGTAAACATGGTGGCAAGCAGAAAACCTGCAGCCATATTCAGATTGCCGAATCAGTATAAAGAACCATTCACAGCCCGTACATTTTTTTGTGAATCCTGAACTCCAGCAGCCCGTGCTAATGCGCTGTGCCTGGCTGCACTGGCAGCCAGTTGAATTAGAGAAGGATTAACTGGGTAAAAAAGAAAAAGGAAAAAGTGATTGTGGCACACAGCAAGCCCTGACTATTTTTTGTGTTGTTGCTATTAAAAAAGTAAACCCAAGTCCTGTGTGACTAAACAAGAAGACATCCACTGAAGCTATCATGTCTAGTATTGCAGTTGTGTTCTAAAGAATGAAGAGGGGTTTGCAGGTGGTAGAGCACTTTTTCCTCTTCCTCCAGACAGATCTCTGACCTCAAAATGTATTTTGGTAGACAGAAGACATGAGATGCCTTCTCTGATATATCTTTGCAATAGCTAGATGTTCACAATGAAGTGTTTTGATATTTTTACTCACCTTCCTTCTTACTTCCAGGAGATTTTGGAGCACTTTAATTCTGCTCAGGGGAGATTTGAGAGCTCACGCTAAACATCTGAGCAATGTTATAGCCTTTCCTCTTGTGCAAAAAGTTGAGGCAGAATTAAGGGCCAGGCAGTTGCCTAGTTTTGATTTAGGCAGGAAAATTGCAACAATTATTCCTGGAAGCAATACAGGTCAATTTTATTGTTCAAAGATAGATGACTTTTTTTTTTTTCTTTTGAAAGAGGTTTAAGATAAAGCATAGAAGGCAACTTCTAGACTGGGATTTAAATGTAGCATCATTTTTCTGTTTGGGTTTAATAGACAGTGACACGTCAACCACCTTGTTAGAAGGAAGCATGTCAAACCGAGATACCTGTCAACAGCTAATGTTTGCAGTCAGGCTGTCCGGGCTGAGGGCTTGGCAAGGTACTTTCTTAAATAAGGCTGGATAGAGTCAGACAGTGGTTCCTATGTGAATAAGAATCATTTCTAAGAAATAGTTCCAGTTTTAGAATAGTTTTGGAATATGCTCTACCCAGCTGCTTATATATTGTTTTGACTTAAAAGAGCTGGGATGCTGCAAGTCCACCGTTTCTTGCTCATAACCAGTTCTGCTGAGAATTTTGGTTTGAATGATTTTACTCTGAAAATCGTGTAATAAAATATCTGTGATATAAATCAGAAAGCCTGGCTGAAAATAGCCTCAGTTTATCAACTTGTCCACATAATAATCACATTTTCTTTGCCTTGTGCTCCTTGAACATTTTTTAACTGGCATTTGGATCATATGAGAGGTGCTTGGTGCTTCTTGTTGTCACTAGAAGACGTATTTTCTTCTTGGGATTCTTATGCTGCCAGCTAGATTGGGATGTTTCTGCACAAACACACAATTTTACTATGCGTTGGTCATGTAGAAGTTCATGGGAGCAAGGGGGAATAACAGCCTTAAAAGGCTGAAGTGCAAAATGTTTGTTAATTATACCTGAAAACGCTTAATCCAAATTATAGTCAAATGCAATGGAAAGTGTTCACAACATGGAAAATAAGGCAGGAATAAATGGCTATAAATGACACAGGTGAACAAACTACAGAAAGCTGTGCTTAATCCATTTATACCAACACTAAATATTAAAAGATTCCCTCTGTTCCCAGCTGATGTGCTGTTTGTGCTCTCCTGATGCTGACCTGGTTAGAAGCAATCCTAGCAGGCCTTGCAGATGGCATTTGGCAGAGGGAATCCCCTCCTGGTGGGTCGTGCGAGGCCACCTGAGTAAATCCCCTTTCCAGAGTCCTCTGGATGGTCTGGGCATGCCTAATCCCCCCCTTCCCTACAATGTCTGTCTTCTGATGTATTGAGGAAGTGATACTTAATATTATCAAGCATTATCTCAGTGTCTTGAAAATACAGATGCTGCTGTATTGTCTTGTATGGTCTGCTGTGTCACTTCTCTGGCAGTCATTGCTTACACCAGATTTTCCTACTAGACCAACTGACTGGAAAGAGAACCAAATTCTTTCCAGCTTTACATGAAGCTTGTAGGTATTGTCAGTACAGGGACAATATTTGTCCTTTCTGTTGATGCTTTTCAGTCTTTTTGCAGATTATTTTTCAGGGCATCCTTACTTTTTCTACCAAGGCAATCATTACAAATATATACAACTGTGTTTCAGCAGCTCAGAGAAGGTTGGCATGACTGATATGTTCCAGCACCTCTTTCCTCTCTAAAGAAAAGGTGTAGAACTCATTAAAAAATGTCAGAAAGATTAACTTTTACCTCATTTATTTCCTTTAAATTAGATACACTGAAGAAGCAATATCATTATGTGGGTCAGGATGAACTTAATTTACTGTAGAAGAGCAGTATTTCAAGGTCGAATGTCTCTGTGAGGTGTGGAGAAGGGAGCGCAGCCTGACTAAAGTAACTGAAGTCTTCCATTAAAATTCTTCAGAATATCGCCCAACTCTGAATCAGACTCACATGAAGTCTTGCATCTTCCCACCAGACATCTCTTGAATTCTTTCTGGCTCATTCTGATCTTTGGGAAACTAATTCCACTTTGCACTCCTCTGCTGGTCTCTACAGTACCAAGGAAAGCCCACTGCAGGCAAGGGAGTAGAATACTTTATCCAGCTTATACTCATCTCAGGGTATTGATTTTAACTGCCTGCTAGCTTCAGATTAAACAGGCACAGGACGAAATAACTGATCTAAGAGCTTTCAGCAGCTTGCACCTGCTTTTTGTTTCTCTTTGATCAAAATATTAATGACAGAGGAGGCTGAGAAGGGAAACTGGAAAGAAAGCACTCCAAAAGAAGAGGTCTGACTTTTGTAGACTGACAAGTCCTTGAGATGTAGATGACAAGTGTGTGGTAAGAGTAAGGATCCAGCCAGTGAAGCAGCTGAATCACTGGCTGTGTATCCTCCCTGTGCAGGCTGGACGCACTGACTGGCTGCGTGTCCTCTGTTAGAGTCATTTTAGTCCTGAACAAAAAGCAGGCAGAGAGTCTCCTGAGCCAGATGAGGAGACGACAGGTTCTTTTCTAATTATTGCTTGTCCTCTTGAGATCACCAGAGGTGAGGTGTGAGCCTGTCAGAGAGTTTTGGAGCTCCCCTTTTTCTTCCTTCCTCCCCACTAGTGATGTCACTGTGTAGTACATTGTGAAGTGACAATGACAAGTAAATAAAATTTACAGTTCTGGAGATCAAGCTCTTGGCAGCTCTGCTTGGTGTGGCCACAGATCTTCCAAGTGACCCAGTAAAGGAAGAGGCAACCAAAAAACCCTAACAGCCTCATGAAAGATGATTTCAATATGATTTGTGGCTTTCAGACAACTTCAGGAGAAGACGTCCGTGACTTTGCCAAGGTACTAAAAAACAAATTTCGAACAAAAAGATATTTTGCAAAGCACCCACGAATGGGCTACCTGCCTGTGCAAACTGTCTTGGAGGGAGACAACATGGAAACGTGAGTAGCTCTGAAGCGTCTAAATAGCAGTTCATTTGATATGCTCTTTGAGCTTCCCAGCTGGTGCCAAATCCCTTCACTTCCTAAATGCATAAAGCCTCTTTCTGTCTTTCATTGCTGTTAACCTTGGCTGGCAGGAAAGCACAAGCTGGGATTCCAATTGCCATTGCCTTTGTCTGTTTTCACCTGTCTTTATACAGGAGCTACAGCTTCAGTTAGTAAAAGAAAAATACTTACTGTCTTACTGACAGCCTTATAAACGTCTAAGTTTGATACGGCAATTTGGAGACTAATGATCTCTTCATTAAATTTTTATTTTCTTCCAAATGGGTGTCTTTCCATGGTTTTACTTTTTTTTAATGAGGCTACTGTGTTTGCAAGATTCCCAGCTGATTTCTTCTTTTCTCACCCTATAAATTCAGTCTTATTAAATGCTTTGATGTCTTTATGGGGAAAAAAATAAAAAAAGCAATAATGATGCACATGGAGAAATCAATGAGTTAACCCAGTTCCCTTTGGTTTTTTTTACAAGTTAAGTAAGTTGTTTAATGGCAATTGCATGCAGCTTGTTCTCGCTCTTTCTCTTTTTTTTTTATTTTAGGTTTATTTTTTTCCTCACTTTTTGATTGGTTGCTCTTCACATTCACTCATGTTGATCTGCTGGATTTCTGGTTTTCAGTTGTTGTGAATTTTTTTTTTCCCCAAAACCTTTCTGTAGTTATTTTGCTGCTGAGTTTCTTCTGCCTCTCTCTTCACCTCCTCATTTTTTGTCTTGCAGTCCTGTTACTCTGATCAACTTCTGGCCAGTAGATTCTGCGTGAGTACTTTTGCTGAAGTGTGCTGCTGCTGCTGCTACTGCTGCTGCGTTCCCTCACTTTGTTTTGTTTGTTTCTTTAGTTTTACATAAATTCATTTCCTTCTTTCTTTATGATTATTTTCTTTGGTGCACTCTCTGAAGGAATGTTTTGATCCCAAATGAGTAGAATGGGATAAATCCAGGAATTCTCAGCAATCATGGATTGTGTACTGTATCCTCTTTCTGGAGTGTGTATTTTCATCGAATTAACAGGGATTTTGGCGCAGTCCTACTAATGCTTATGTTTGCCATTTAAAAGCTTGTGTTTCTGAATAAGTGTTGATCCCTCTGAATGTATACTAAATGCTTTTTGAAAGATAGAAATTGAACTTGATGGATTCTATTCAGTTTCAGGAATGACATTGTTTTGTGGCAAAAGCTGTAATTTGGTTTTATGTGCAACCGTGCACACTCATGTGCCCTAATTAATCCAAATCTCACTGGGTATTTTATTACAGTTTTATAGATACAGTAATATTTGTGAAGGCAGGTTGGAATTGGGAAACATTTACTGTATTTTCTCAGAAGTAAAAAAAGCAGGTTTTATTCACCTATGAAGTGGATTTTCATTCTTGCACCATTCCTGCACGTGCATTGTCTTACTATTGTAGTAATACCCGTAGCATAAACTAAAGAGATACATATATATATATACTATTGTGGCATTTGCTACTACTAATGTTACATGGATGGTTTTAGAATAATGTTAAATAAGGTTTATTTTTAATTCACATATTGATAACTAATGAGAAACTAGTAAATAAGAGTTTTATATATTTCTATATGGTGAAATGTATACGGCTTGCACCTTTATGGAATTTTTGGTAGAATAAACAATAGTGAAATGTATATGTTGGAATATTGATTTATAATTTTTGTTTGGAGCACAAACCATTGGGAAGTCAGGTGAAGTGCTCTACCTCTAGGAAATCTAAGCATCCAAACACTTCTAGTACTGAAATCCTTATATTGTTGAGGATTCACCCGCAGAAGAGGCCAAAAGGCTGGAGACAGACTGAAATAGAGGGGCTTTGAACTTCAGGATGCACTTTCATTTATAAATGCATCTGGGGACGATTGCAGCATTCTATATACTCAACTGTGGATCTAGATTTCTTACCCCTTAGAACAATTGCAAAGTTAAAAGTAACATTTAAAGAAAGCCTGGATAATATGGACTGATACAACATGTAATTAAGCTGCTATAACATACTTAATTCTAGTTACTTCCAGTATTAACACTATAGGTTACGCCTAAACTGACAGCTTCTTACCAAAGATTTGGTGTGGTGTACTGCAGGGAGTTCAACTTGCATGTAATACTTAAGAAAACTTCACAGATACTGCAAAACAGTGTTTGTTTGAGAGGTTGCACCTTTTATCAGGCCAACTCAGGTATCTTCCTAAGCACAGTTCTTTTGTCTGGTCTGACAAGAACACAGAAAATTAAGAAATGAATAGTGGCTTGGAAGAATTGCTCTTCATTTTGTTCTGCTGACTTTTTTCCTTTCCTTGATGCTAGACCATGGGGCTTACGACACAAGTTACTGAGCTCCACGTGTTTAAAGATGTTTCTCAGTTACAGGGCTGATTCCAGCTTCAGCTGCCAAACCTCTTATTCTAGTTATCATTATACTTTTCCCATGTTTCTAAAATCTTGCCTTTTTCTAGTGATTTTATGCCAGTGTTCTGGTAATCTTCAAAATACTTGAGAAGAGCATACCTGGCGGTGTTCAGCAATGGTAGTGCTATCCTGACATCAACATGAAAGTGTTTATAAATGCATATGTATATATTTTTGTTATAAGTCAGTAATTCTGACTGCTTATTATCTGGTATTTTGCGCAGGTATTTTGCTTGCAGCCGTGAAAGGGACAGCTTACACCTTTTGTGAGAATCTCTGTCATTTTACTTGGGCTGTGGGCTGCCAGTGGACCAAATACAGTGTACTTGATTCTTTGCTTTCAAGAAGCATCAACTGAAATGCTGAACTTAAAGGGCAAGAAAAGTGCCTTTGTCTTGCCAGCTGGGTCTCCAGGGTGCAAGGAATTGCACAAGGTAGCATTTGCCACTCGATTGCTACTTGACTGGAATTCCCTGAGCTGTTCTTCAGAGCCCAGCTTGAGCAATGCAGCTGTGGAGCCCTTGTAAAAGGGACAGTTATCTTAGCTAAATATTGGCTATGTTTCCCAGCCTTCTTGCTGACTGTTCAAACTGGTTAGGTGGGCTGAGTATGTGTGCTGAGAAAAGAAGGACAGTGAGCTCTAGCACAGATGGTCATTTAAGAGTACGTCTGTCCAACAGCCCGAAATACAACACAGTCGGCCTTAGGCTTTCTCAGATACTGGCAAAAATGTACCTCTGAGCGGCTAAGTTCAACACAGAGACTACAGTGCTTCTCAACAGGTTTGCTTTCTTAAGCAAACTTTCAGAAAGCTGTTTCGAGGTAGATCTCCATTACAGTATGTTCTGAAGTGGAGAAAAACGTGGAAATGTAGCCTCATCCGCTGCCTGCAGTTGCTGAAGAGGCAGAATCAACAAGTTATACAACCCTGTGTTCCCTTCAAAATATATATAATCACCCACCTTGTTCTCTTATGAAATTGAAGCTTAGTTTCAAGGCAGCAAGTATGTGATCATGCAGTCAGGCCATCTTTTGCCTTGCACTACTGCCAAAAGGGATGTCTCTTCATTGCCCAGTTAGTCCCAACCAAGGGCTGTCCTTTCCTTTGTACTGGTACAAACACATGTGCAATGGCAGGGTAAGAGGGACTGGGAAATAATCCAGCTCAAAACTAAAGCTACTTTTAGCACAGATTTCATAGTCTACACACAGTGTTAGCAGCAACATTTGTGTGAGCATTGATAGTGCCGGCTTAGACCAGCTTAACTTGTGTTGTATGTCAGACAAATAAAACAATGGGGATAGCATCTGTTTATCTGAAAACTGTTGTTGTCTTGCTGCTCCATAATCCACTGCTCTAGATAAATTGTCTCCTGTCCCCCTCCATTCCCTTCAGCCTAGATGTTCTTACACAAAATAGGGTAGCAAGTTGCAGGGAAGCCATTGCCTCTGTGCACAAATCTCTGCTGTACTGAGGAGCTCTGTGAACTGAGTATTTATTCTCTGGTGTGCTGTCGTAATGTTTGAACACATTGGTGGGTAGAAGTACATTCAGAGGCCAAAGCTCATTTTGGACAAAATGAGATTCGTTATATTTGGCCTTTAATGTCTTAAAGAGACATTAACAATGATGAATTTTGTGTATCCACCATACAGCTCTATGAATTGGGAAGGATCTTAATTTTCTAGAGACCCTTGCAGGATGATTAGAAAACTGGAGGATGACCAGTCTAGTTAATATGCTGCAGGATTATCAAGCTTCTAACATGGGAGCATTACAAATTATTACAGTTTTGGTATATAAGCAGTAAACCCAAAATCTACCTGCTCTTGCAATGCAGTGCAATCCCAATTGGGCAGACCCAGCCTGAACTACAGTGTCCAACAATTTTAAATGGGAGAAAGTCCTTCTTCAATCAGGCGTTCCAGAAAGAGTGTTGGCAGAGACAGAATAAAGAGATGTTGAAATTAGGTAATATAGGAGATTGCCATGCAGTTTGGGAATCTGCATTTTTGTTTTTTTTTTCTATTCCAGCACCTCATCATACATGTAGATACATTAGTAAAATACCTCATGGCAGCAAAGGGTGCTCTCTAAGTTGCATAGGCAACCTAATTCTGGGGTGACATTTTCCAGAGTTGAGGCTGTAAGAAACAATACTCTTATTGATGAGAAAAGTCCCATGAATTTTTTTAATCAACAAAAAAGTGAAGAGGTCCTCATGCCATCTGATCTGTCAAGCAGAAAACTCAAAATAGCTGACCGTGTCCTCATGTAGAACACACTGATCTATGGTTCAGATTGCAACTCTGGAAAGACGATAGGCAAAATCATCGCTGTCTGCAGTGTGTTATTAAAGGCTCATTTCAGACATCTTACGTTTCTTGTATTTATTTCTAGTTGCTCATGAAGTGGTCCTTAAAGGCTCTTTTAAGCGGGATGTGCTGGAAGCAGGCAGTGGAGCAGGGCGGGAGTAGAGGAGAGGTTCCCAGCAGGGCTTTTGCAGCTGGCGTAGGGCTGTGTGTGAAACAGGATTACCAGTGAAAGAAGCAGGTGTGAAAGGAAAACCAGGGTGAAAGCTCTTCTGCAAATCCTTTGGGAAAGGGTTCTTCAGAGATTGGTGTGAAGAAGAGTCGTTGCAACGAATGGATTGCAGAATGGCTGAAATCCCCAGTGTGGTACCAGAGAACATTGCACCGATGGCTTGAGGAGACACACGCAGCGCCTGGAGTTACAATTTGCTGTTTATCAAACATAGCATAAGGCGTGAGGATGTGAGGGTATAGGCATAGCTAAGTGTCTTTTTACTTTTAAAGGGGTATTGTTTGTGATTAATCAGTGTTTTCTGCCTTATAGGCCTGCCTCGTCCCCTCAGCTTTCACATGATGATACTCATTCACGCATTGAACATTATGCTAGCAGGTATGAGACCAGCTGGATATTAGGCAGACCTTTCTCTAAGCAATCAGTAAAAAAAAAAAAAAAAAAACAAATTCCAAAGGCTAGCTGCTACCTGAGCATTTCCTAAAGAAACATAGGGTTTGGGGTTTTGCTTTCCAGGCTTTGAGATGCAGAGCATTGTCTGTGGTTGCTGTTAACCAGCCTGTCAACTAACTTGCATGCCAGAGCATCTGTGTGGTCAGAATTTGCCTTTAGGTCCTGTGGGGTCTTTGTTAAGCTGTACATTCAGGTTACTGATGTTTTAATAGGGCCTGTAGTGATAGGACAAGGGGTAATGGGTTCTAACTGAAAGAGGGCAGTTTCAGACTAGATGTAAGGAGGAAGTTTTTAGGTTCCATGGTGAAACAGTGGAACAGGTTGCCCAGAGAGGTGGTGGATGCCCCATCCCTGGCAGCATTCAAGGTCAGATTGGACAGGGCTCCGAGCGACCTGATCTAGCTGAAGACGTCCCTGCTTATTGCAGAGGGGTTGGTCTAGATGATCTTTAAAGGTCCCTTCCAACGCAAACTATTCTATGATTCTAGGATTTTGCGTAGAGTTTTGTCTTTAATATGGACCCTGGTGTAATCATACAACTCAGAAGAGCAGAAACCTCCAAACTCTCAAGTGCCATTTTAATGTTAAGTCATTCACCTTGTGCAATACCACAAACAGGGTTTTTCCTTGGTTTGGAGGATTAAAATAGCAGCATACTGCTCCTTCAGTTCACTTGTCTGCTTTCATACTGCTCTTAAGAATAAAAAAAAAGTGAGTTAATTGCACAAACATGAAAACATTTTTCCACTAGGCAAGCAATTAGCAAGGGTTGAGGTAGTGAAAAATAGTTACTCCAACCTCTTCTTTCTCTCCCACAAAATCACTTGATCAGGAGAAGTATTTCTGAATTATGCAGGACATTTAGGAGGCTGAGTGCTTAAAACCAATGAGAAATGACTGATCATTACAGTTTTGATGATGACATTGCCAGGTACAAAGCAATTTGTGTAATCCCCTGGCATCTTAAGACCTTCCCTTGGTTGTGGAATTAATTAATCATGAGGAGTGGAATATAACCTCAGAGAAGGGCTTGAAACCTCAGAAGTGAGTTTAGCCAGGTCATCGTCACAAATAAACAATCCTTTGCGATAGCCTATTGCAAAACTATTTTGTAATCAACAGTATAAATTAATTTGAGTTTCAGATTCATTAAAGACATCATGCTCTTTAAGTCTTTCAGGAATATTAGAGCAAATGAAGTTTCTGAAAAATGTAATTGATTTTAATGAGTCTTGTTTATTTTTCCACAGGCTAGCAGAAATGGAGAATACCAATGGTTCTTATCTAAATGACAGTATTTCACCTAATGAGAGCATGTAAGTAGGCCGTTTTAATATCTTTGGCATGTGTTTTACTGTGAAGGTTAATAACTTGTAATGAAATTCTTTAGTGCTGGATTTGCATGGCCGTATACCACATCTGGTTCCTTTTAATGATGAACTTACGTGTTTTCAATTTGTATTGTAGTGTCTAGATTCATGGCTTAGTACCAAATTTATGCAACTAATGGTGAATACCTTCAAGATTAAAATTACTAATTTCTTCCAAAAAATTAGTGATATATTCAGCAAATAGTTCCCATATTACTTGGAAAAAAGGCTCACCATCTGATGTGTTTTAAGGACAAACATAAACAGATAACCTTTCTCTCTGTAGTGCAAGCTTAACTGCAAGGTTAAATTCCTGTACGCTGGAAAATAGTTGTGGGCAAACTGTCATTCAAAAGGTTAGTGAGACTAAACAGAAATCTTTGGTGTGCAAATGCCTGAAATACATTGCAGGTATAAGCCAGGAGGGACTCATCTTCTCCACAAAATATTTGAAGTAGTAAACTTTAAAGTTGGACAGAACACTGGCAAGCATTTATTGTACTACTTTAAATGTAAAGTCATAAATAAAAGTTTTAGTTTTAAAAAAGTAGTTCAATCTAATGTCACACTGAGGCCATTCTGTGGTTACTGACATGGTAATGTATTTCTTCTCTCATGATTTCCTCGATCTTATTTATTTGCTGAATGAAAGGACATAGAACTAGAAAGCTGAGTAATGTTTCCGAAGACAGAAGTACGTAAGTCATTGTCATGCTTGAAAATTTGGTCTCAGTAGATCAACTGCACAGGAGAAGTCATGGCATAGATTCTGAATCAATAAAATTTGAAAAAAAAAACTCAAATTCCACCTTTTCTAAGGGTGGTTTGGTTTCTTTTTTTTTTTTTTCTTTTATGCATAATCTCATCCTTACCACAGTTTAAGGTGTGGATTTGTTTGAAACTTTAGACAGAATCTTCTTTTTACTAAATCTGTAGCGTTTCTTTAGCTCATGCTACTCTGGCCGGTTTTCCTTCCCTTAAATTGAGATTCCAGATCATTAAGGCTGGTTGTGAGCCTCTGAGATGTTTTTGAGTAGTAGTACAGCTGTTTCTTTGTTTCAAAATAGAGTCTCCTTTGACCTGATAGGATTGTTGTACCAACCCTGTACAACCAAGTACATTATTTTGACATACTGGTTCAAAAAGGAGAAAGTTAAAATGATACCTCAAAACTAATGCATACACAATGTCGCAGTTCATGAAAACTTTGTTTCCAAGTTGTATGTTAACTTTGTATTACTATGGAGAGTAGTAACGCTTTAATAGATGGAGTTTAACGTTGTTCCCACTGAAGTATTTCAGTGTCCTTAGTTTGGCCTTTCTGTTCAATTAGTTCTTTAGTTAATTAAGAGTTGTATTAATATTATTCAGTTAAGCACTGACTATCCAGTTTGATAATAGGTTTGTACTAATAAAATGAGAATAAATCTGTACATTCTGAGTTTTTTAAAAAATATGGGCGAGATACAAATCGCTGCTACTTCTTAACCCAGGACAATGACCCTTCCACAGCACAGATCAGGCAGCAGAAGATAGCCCTTTTATTTACAAGCAGATTCCTAATTGGAGTTAGGCAGGAGACGAAAGCTGAGGTTTTCAGCTGTTGTAAATCTTGGCTTTAAGTATATGAGCAGGGGAGGGAAAGAGCTGTGGTCTCTGCAGAGAAGGAAAAGTATCAGGGATTAAGTGAAACTGTTCAGATTTTGCTTTAAGGTACATTGCTTTGTTGTTTGTTACAGAGAGTTCAGCAAATCTCTTTATAAGAAATGAGAAACTGGCAGTGAATCATCTCCTCAAATTCACTTCAATGTTAAAAATGAGGAAGAGAACAGCCTGTTTATTCTGCTCTGTTTTCCAGTGATGATGAACACTTATTAATCCAGCACTACTGCCAAAGTCTGAACCAGGAGTCCCCCCTGAGCCAGCCCCGAAGCCCTGCCCAGATCCTGATTTCTCTGGAAAGTGAGGAGAGAGGTGAATTGGAGAGAATCCTCGCAGACCTGGAGGAGGAAAACAGGTAGGTTACGCTGTCTGCTGCCACAGCCCTTGTGCACATGCTACAGGGGCAAACGAAAATTTTCTCTAAGTGATGAGTTTGACATCGTATCACCGTTAACTTGTTCCCACTTCCAGTAACTCGTTCCCACTTCCATTGTAGGGATGTGTCATCACTGCTTCTTTCAGAAAACCTTTCAAGCTTTTGAAGACATACCCTGGTCACCTGACACTCATCATGCCACCTGCTCTGTTCACTGTGCATCATAATATTTCCTTCTGCTCTACTGTGCCCTTTATTTCCTTGATAGTAATGAGCTTCATACCAGTGTTACTTTATTTTGCTGTTACACAAGGAAAAAGGCAGGCAGAGGTTCTTGGAAAAACAGGCTTTTCTCAAGAAGGTTGTTCACTGGGATACATGAGGTTTTGAAATTATCTCAATTCATTTGAAGTAAATTGTAAAATAATTAAAATAATGTGAAATAATTGTACTGTACAGATAGATGGAATTAACTTTCATAGGTTTTTAAGGGATAAAATGAGTCATAAAGTTGTACTTTCAACAAATGAGTTGGTTAAAAGTTGGCCCCTCTTTTCTTTCTATTTGTTTGGTATTGCTTGTTATTTCTTTAGCCTTTCAATACCAAGTATCATTTACCACTTTTAATTTCAAATTATCTTATTTAGTCACAAATACTCCCTCACGACTGGATTCTTGTAGCATCACAACACTACAGTCCTCTTTCTATGGTACTCTGGAGTCTTAGGCGATCAGCATAAAATCATGCAAGAGTTGGCAGTGTCATAGATCTTCTCTCCATGCATAAGTCATCTTTGGATGGTACTAATCATCTGCACTGGCTCCGTCACACTTTTTATCAGTTAGAATTTGAGAGAACATAGAGGATCGGTGAGTAGCAAGGATGACAAAAGCATTTCAGGCAGAAAGCTGTAGTAAACAAAGCTCTTGCTCATTGAACAGCAGTGAGATTTTGTTTGAAACAAATTCCAAACTTCCCACTAAAAAGCCAAGTACTTTCCAAAATGGAGGAAAATCCGTATTTTGAAATAAGCCATTATACTTTGCATTTTCAGGACTTCTGTAGTAAAGAAATACTGGGTAACTAGTACAGTACAGATAATAGGATAGCTTAGTTTTCAGGGGAGGGTTGTTATTTTCTTAAACAGGATTAGGTAGTGAATCATGAAATTAAAAAAACCCAACATAATGCTTTTCTGTCTGTATTGAAAATAAGCTGCGCACTAGAAAGTAGGATGGCTTTTAAAGCAGCCTGGTTTTAGATTAGAAAGTTGGTATATGAAAATAACAAGGAATTAGATAGCTAAATAGGCTAAAAAATTCCTTTTCAAGGTTAATGCCTTAAATTTCAGTGTGAGCTTTATTTAGTGTAACAACTACTCATGAGTACTAGCACATTAAAAGATCTCTGACAGGAATTACACCTCAAAAATACCTGTTTTGAAGTTTGCCAATCCTGGATTAAACAAGAGCTGTAGACTATAAGCTTGGTTATAGCCTGTTTTCTCATTTGTATTACTGGAGGCACTGTTATGGACAGGATGCCACCACAAGCAACCTTGCTTTTTGTGGATGCTTCAGGTCTCAGTGCAACTGGGATGAAGAGGTCTGTTTCTGTAGGGCAGCATGGAGGTCACATTGTTGTGATATTCATTGATTATGACAAAATCATTACTTTTGTCTTTGCAAACTGCTATAAATAGCTTTTACTTAAAATGTGAGGTGGATCCTGAATAGTGAACAGGTTCTTGTTGTCCTGATAGCTTGTCACAGCCAGATAACTGACTCTATGGAGGAAACAGTTGTTCCTGTTTAGAAAAACAAGCTGTTCAGACAGGGTCAGTGAGGAGCCACTCATATAACTTACCTACCTTTAAAAAACAGTCTTGTCCCTTTAAATTTCTATTCCCTAGTCTGTCTTCTCCTTTGAGTTTGTGCAAACCTTTTTTGGCTGTTTTCAAAGGTAATCAACAACCCAGTGCCTAATTCCTTGCATGAACCCAGTTCCAATGAGTGAATTCCTTTCCATGCCCTCCAAGCAAACGTTTATTGCAGCAGCATGAAGGCTCAGTGAATCTGTTGCTGGGAAATAACCTGAACATGATGCAAATCATGTTGTGACCACCTGGTCCTCAGCCCAGCCTTAAAGCACCTGAACTGTTTCATCTCCATCATAAATACCTCTGGACTTGTTGCTGGAGCATGTCTCCTTGCTAGTGCCGAGCTGGATGTGGTGCTTATGCTGGGGAAGGCAAGTGGCTGGGCAGCTAGCAGTGTTAGATAAACAGTCATCCTTTCCTGCTTGTGTTGACACAGGTTTTGTTGCATACACTGCTGGGGATTTTTGACAACAAAGATTTAGTTCTCTCTGCTGTATCTTGTATTATTTTACAGTGGGAGTCAGCCCATGCAGCCACTTCTCAGCAGCTCCTGGGGAAGCTGCATTAAGTGCCAACAAGAAGCAATACTATGATATTCAGACCACTTTGTCATCATTCTTCTTTTCCTTCCGCTCTCCACAATTTCCTGCTTTTAAAAAAAAAAAAAAAAAGCCCCTTTTTTTACTTCTTGTTTTGACTTTTCTTTGCCTCTTTCAGCTCTTTATTGAATTCTGACCTCCATTTGGTTTTCAGCTGCAGTTTATGGTCTCCAAATATTTTATCTTAACTTGTTACTTAAATGGAAGACTCTTTGAAATTGTAATTCTGAGGTTCTGCTTTTGGACAGTTTAAAAAGATCTGTTGCCTATTTTGAATTCTTCTGAAATGTATTATCCAACTTAGAAACTAACCAAGTTGAGACAGTTCTGACTGGGGTTTTTTTTCACTTCCAAGGACCTCTTCTTAGATATTCATTATTTATCTGCTAGCATTTTGAGACCTTCGTACTTCTGTGGCTTGCAAATATGACTTCCTTAAATAATTTATGGCTAAAATTTCACTTTTAAATAATTTATATTTGCTAACATGTGAGTATTTTAGAGCATATTTTCAATTGGTGAAAATGTCGCATTTGAGTATAAGGCCTTCAGGCCGATGCTCAGCTTTACATCACATGGATTATTGTGATAAGACTGTTTCTTATGTATGCAATAAACATAAATTTGAAGGCACTGTCACTGTATTGCAGTATAAGAGAAAAAAGCAATTATAAAACTGTCCCAAAAACATTTTGAGATTTCCTTAAGAGTGAATGTATTCCAGAAACAGAGAAGACAGATTTCTGGTGTCCATCTAAAGTGGTACATTACATAGGTTATTCTGCAGGATAGGTTATACTGTGCTAACGTTAAGTGGAAAGCATACGTTTTGCAGTGACAAAGGCCCAGAACTTTTTGCAAAGAATTAAAATGCTGGTTTAATGACTAAAGAAAAAGGATGTTTCCTAAACATTTTAGTTGAGTCAAGATCACTGACATACTTCTGCAAAAAGAAGACTTCTGTCTTGTTCTCTTTTTTCCCTCTCAGTTCCTAGCTGTATATACCAAAACTTAGTAAATGAGATCTCCAGCCAGAGCTAGTTGCCGTTCCTTTACTTTCCTGACTTGCACTTGGAGCAGAGGGGGCTGTCCGCCACTGGAAAAGCACTAATACCCCAGATCTCAAAGATGCTTTGTTTCTGCGCAGCTATGGTGTTCCTTCAGATGTGAAGACTGATGAATGGCCTTCTCAAATAAGTTCCTTCTGTATAGTTGCCAATAGTGAGAAAGTGATACATTTCTAAACATCTTGTGGCTCCTCTTGGTATTTATTTTGGCATTGAAGAAGGGAAACTAGATCTTCTGAGGGTGAAGCATCGTGAGTAAACACTGGCACTCCAGTGACAGGGGTAGGTAGTTCAGTTACCAGCTTTGTCCATATCTTTAGACCACTGATTTTCTTTAGGGAGATGAAAAATAACAAGAATTCATAAATTCTCAATTGCCTCTAAAAGGGCTACTCAGCAAATAGGGTCCACTAGGATTTCTGTCACCAGGCAAGTAATGCCACCAGTGATAGATGGCAAAGAGCCATGAGCTCTTTGCTACCCGGCTCTTTACAGTTGCATAAATCAGGGTTACGTTGCATGCTTCCTCTATTAATATTTTTCTTCATGAATGCTTCAAAGAGGTGCAAGCATAATAAATGAGATACATAAATATATGGGAGTTGTCTTTCTCTATTTCTCCTACTGAAGCAGAATAGATCAGAGGATGCAGCAGCTTCATTTGTTTGTGACAGCCCGATGTAAAAGTTACCCAGCCTGAGCTATGGTGGAGGGAGGCTAAGTTTCACAGTACTGCCTCTGCTTGCTTAGTTACATTCATTTGGAGAGGATTATGCTTTTATCTCCCCTTTCTCTTATGGCCCATTTTATGCTGAAAATGGCAGAGTGCTTTTCCTTGGGACACAGAGGCTTCACACTGAGTGCTGTGGGCAGTGCCTGGCTTGCAGCAGCAATCCTTTTTCACCACACAGCTTAAAACTGTTCCAGAGGTAGGAATAAGAGCCGATTGTTCTCTTCTCCAGGATATTCTTACAGCAGGTTTCCACCTCTTTCTTTCTTTTTTAATTTTCAGCTTTTTCCCTTATGTTAATACAAATCTTCATGCCTATATGTTTAGATCCCAATTACTGTGACATTATTGATCATCTGCACTCCACATCACTCCTGCAGCTCTGAAGGCAGTTTCTGTGATGATGAGTTTCAATTCTCCTAAGGCTAAGGACTGTGTTAGCTGGGCTGAAAAGGTGCAGCTGGAAAACTCAGTGACACAGGTGCTCTGGGCAAACTCACATCCATCCTTCAAAATGACATTCATTTGTTCCAACTATGTTACTGTATATAATTACTGAACTCACAAATTCAGACATACCTCTACTTGGATCATGTGCAATATCCTTTACAATTTTTTTTTTTTTTTTTTTTTTACTGTAGGCTTTCAGAAGGAGTTTTTAATTGTTTTGTATGAGACATGAAGGCATTTTTATCTGAATTACACCCTGGTCCTCACTTGTTTTTCAGTACCATGGTTACTGGAAGGACTTCTCTATACTGATAGTTGAGGCGATAATTGTAGATTTCTTTGTAGCAGGGTACCTGATTATGTTGTAAGTATGACCAAGGGTGGTATTTTATCTTTTGCTTTACAGCACTTAAGGCTTTAGAGTCTGCTGTTTGTAGAGTATTGCCCATATCGTATATCTGGGAACTTTCTCAAGGGGTAGTGATAGCCACTATCTACAGACTTTGTGAAAAACAAGCTTAATGATCAATCCTATCTAAACTTTAGTCTGCAGTAAGACCGTGTGTGATACTGCTGTCATGCTCATTCCTATTCCCTTCTGTATTTTTATTTATTATTTACCAGTTCATTTAGCTATGAGTATCAGAAGACAACATCCAGTATAGCCTATTTTTTTTTTCCCAGATTATTTTCATGAGCTTGAAACTCTGTATTTTATTGAAACAAAAACTTCCCTTGAAAAAAAATAACTCTTGAGAGGGTGATCAAACACTGGAACAGGCTTCCTAGAGAGGAGATCTTTGCCCTAAGCCTGTCAGTGTTTAAGAGGCATTTGGACAATGCCTGTAACAGCATGCTTCAGCTTTTGGTCAGTCCTCAAGTGGTCTGGCAATTGAACTAAATAATCTTTGTAGGTCCCTTCTAGCTGAGCTATTCTGTATTCTGTTCTTAACTCCTCATAGTTTTTCCCCCTTTGTGTGGGTTTTAGCAAAAGAAATCTTGAATTTTGGAACCTGGAACAACCTGTAGTTAAGAATGATCTACCCCTTTTTTTAATCTTCTAAAACTTCAGTAGAGGAGGGATCATTTAGGTCAGACATCCTTTAGGGATCGTATTCTGGGGGGTGCCACAGCCACAGGTTAGCAGGTGTCTATCAAATAGCTGCTGAGGGGCACAAGTATATTTGAAGGACAGTCAGTAGCCTGTCTTTGTCCTTGGCATTGCTTTCTTATCTATGTGAAACAAAGTATATTGCTTGAGTTCTTGTTCTGCTCACAATAATGTACCTTTAGAAGAGTTTCAGAGCTTAGTGAGGTTTACTGGGAGGTGTCTGAGGTGCTGTTAAGCTTCCAGCCCAAACTGTCAGTGCGTACTGTGATTTGCAGGCAGAACTGGCAAAAAGTGCCTGTTTTCACAACCTCAAATAAGAACAACTTGAAAAAAATGAAATCTGGGTCGCCACTTGTGATGAGTAAGCAGTTACCAGAGCATCCTCCTTCTGGGAAGCTCTAAAGGAATATCATAGCAACAGAATCCCAGTGCAATTTATTAGCCTTCCCTTGCCTACAAAGCTTCTGTTGCAAGTTACTGTTTTTGCAGTTTCGGACTGCCTTATCCCTAGCAGGGTTTCAGTTTCTTACCTTCTGTGCTCATCCTGCTTGGTAAGGCTTTTTCACGTGGACCACTGTAGATCATATTAACCTACGGAGTGTTTTACTGGAGTAAAACTGGAGCTTTACAGAATAAAAGAACAAGCTTAGCAGTGCCAGTTCTCTACACAGGGCAGTCCAAATGAAGATGAAAATTATAGCCCCAGAAGTTAGTGCAGTGCAGTTCAACAGAGCAGTTCACTAATTTGTTTTTTTTCTCATATTAGGTTAGTAATTTTAGAGCTAGGCTGGAGATGCAGTTGCAAATAGAAAGGGAGGAGAGTGATGTGACCTGAGTGGCAATGGCAGGGTTGCAAATGAGCTCTTGAGTTCTGTGTTTTGCTCTGACTTTCTGCATGGCCGCCTTTCTGTCTTAGCTTTCTCATCTGTAGAACGGATAGGCCAGCCAGGTGGTGTCCACTTTGATTAGTGTTTGTAAAGGGCTTTGATCACCCGAAGTCCTCTTTTAGCGCTAATTGGTCCTCGAATGTATTTGTGCATGGAAGCAAACATGCAGTCCAACTTGTGCTGAGAAGGATAAAAAGCAGGAAGCCGAGGAGGACTGGTCCCAGGACAGGCTGTACCCGGGCTTTCGGGAGGGTGTCTGGAGCCCAGCCAGCCTTTTGTGCTGTGGGCCCTGCAAGGGAATTAATCGTGAATTCTGGATTTGGAGAAAGCCTTTAGGCAGTGTTTATATCAGAAGTCCATATAGTATCAGCTCCATGCACATCTGTGAGGTGTAAGCGTACATGAATATACATGCATGCGGATTCAGCAGAATGAAAGGCAGGTGATGTAGGTGAGCCTCTTCCCCCCTGTAGTTAGACACATGACACCACACAAGATGCCTGCTCACTGCCCCTTGCAGAGTATAGCCTAAACTGGCCTATTCGGCTCCATAAAGCTTTTACCTTTTTATTATTTCTCAACAGAAATTTGCAAGCAGAGTATGACCGTTTGAAGCAACAGCATGACCACAAAGGACTGTCTCCACTGCCGTCCCCACCGGAGATGATGCCAGTTTCTCCACAAAGCCCACGGGATGCTGAACTCATTGCGGAAGCCAAGCTGCTTCGCCAGCACAAGGGCCGCCTGGAGGCCAGGATGCAAATTCTGGAGGATCACAACAAACAGCTGGAGTCACAGCTGCACAGGCTGAGGCAGCTGCTGGAGCAGGTGAGCCCTTAAGCCTTTCTTCTGGATCTCTTTCCAGGACTAGAAAGTAGAGTCACTTTCCAAACAGCGTGTGAAGCATTATCAATAACAGCAACATACCAAGAAATCATATCTGTGGAGGCTAGTGAGAGAATAATGTTAAATTGTTCTACAGAGTGCAAGTGAAAGTGCAAAATCATGTTTCAGTGTTCTTACTTAGTCTTCTTCCTTGTTTTATTGAGAATTTAAATCCATTGTTTGCATGGATATATTTACTTATACAGAAAAATTGTGTGTATTCATGGAATAAAAAATACAGAGATACAAAGATTTGTGCAAGTGTAATGAGAGATTATTAGTCTCTTCTTTTTGTCTTCAATTTTCAGCCACAGGCAGATGCCAAGTTGAATGGTACAACACTGTCATCTCCTTCTGCCTCTTTGCAGAGGTCAGACAGCAGTCAGCCAATGCTTCTTCGTGTAGTTGGCAGCCAGACTTCAGAAACCATGGGTAAGATAACAAAGTTCAGATTGTCATAAAATATGTAGTTCCATTTTTCCGGAAAAAAAGACCCTTAAAACCAGAAAATACTCTTCTCTCTTGTTTAGTTCAGTGAGAATGAAGTAGACATTTGCAGTGGCCTTCAGTGTCATCACTAAAAAGCTGACTATTATATTCAAACTGACTTTCATCTATTAAGTGTGACATGGCTGATTTAAATGCACACAGTTTTCATTATGGCTAAGAGATCAAATGTATGATTAATCATCTCCACGTTAACTGATATGATCTTCTTTTTAATATGTCATGGCTCAGTCAGTAGGATTGAGCTGTCACTCATAGGCAGTGCTCATCTAGTGTCTTCTAAATATCACATCAGATGTGATAATGAACATCATTTGAGTTGTGGAGTAAGGCTAAGTAATGATATTCTGTAGCTAGAGGCTAGAATTATTATTTTGGTGCTTTCAGTAACTGCTTTGTAGCATTTTCCTAATTTCCTGTCTGTTATATAATTAGTAAGTATTTATTACCAAGTAGTAAGGATTTTCTGCTAAACCAACCATTGCAGCATCTTTAAGCAGATGTGCTTAAGTTATTTGAACAAGATACTGTTTTAAGACTGATGATAATATTCAGCTTCATACACAGAAATTTATTTAGTGTGTATTGGAGAGAGGCTTTGGGGGAGGGTGAGAGACTTACGTGAAAGCTTTGCTGTGGTTCTGAGAGAATCGGTGACAGTGAGAAATTGAATGGGAGGGGACATGCTGCTGTGTCTGAAGTGCCATCATGGTGGGAGATGCAGCTTGGTCGTGGCCTTTTTCTTTCATCCTGAGCATAGGCAGTAATGTCAGCCTGTGCCAGTATCAAACAAGATGGGATCTGTACACCCTACAGCACAAAATAAAAAAGTGAAACGAATTATACCTTTAGGAATGCTTAAGTTAAATCCTGGGGTGAGAGAACAATCACAGGTAACAACAATTTCATTTGCATCTTTCTTTAACAGTATGACAAGAGAGTAATTTTGCTATGTGCAGCATACGCAGAGTAGACATCATGTATCGGAGTAATTTGCATCAGCTTTCTGAAGAAATGTCATGAATTTTATCTCATGAAATAAATTAATCAAAATACACAAGAAAAGATAGGAAGAAACTAGTTTCCATTCATCTTATTAGAAGTCCTGTAGTTTTGAATTGTATACTTTATTATGAGAAAATATAATGTATTTTTGTTTCATTTGACTCAATATAAAATTTTTCCCATTTAACTTGGGAGACTAGAATTAATTAACATGCATACAATCATGTAAACTGCTAAAACTTTTTAAAAGCAAACATTTAGACATGACATGGGCTTCTTTGTTTGATTGAGCCAATATGCAGAAGGACAGTAAGTTGTTGAATTATTATCAGTATGATTGTGTTGAGACTCGGCAAAGCAACACTGTTGGCAGCATGGAGTAGAGCTTATAAAAAGAATTGCTAACTGAGCTAACAAACCACAACTAATTCAGTTTGTGAAGTCTCCTTTCACACTAGAAAGCTTTACTTGCCAGTCTGAGAGTTTTCTGAAGTGTGACTGAAAATATTCTTGAATTGTGAAGGAGCTAGAGTGGTGTTGTAAACAGTGTTCCCATGCAGCGAGCATGTGCCCAATAATGAGGGAGTCATAATTTCCAAGAAGATACTGAGGATCTCTAGGTCTCTCAGGCAATCCGGTAATTTAGCGGTAGCTTTTATATATTTTTCTTTTTAAGAGGATATCTTTGAACTTTTTCTTTGAATGTAGATCCACCATGCTTCTCTGCCTCTCTGCTTTCTCAGGGAGAGATTTCTGTGACAGAAACCACCAGTGTTTCCAGCCATTTGGTAAAAGCAGCAACCCACTCAGATCCTAATTTACAAATAGAATTCTAAGTTTATCCCATGATAACCTGAAATACAACTGGGCATGTGGAAAAGTTCTGCTTTTCTTCTCACAGACTCCTAATGGAAAGGTCCTGAACTTTGGCATTTCTCCCTCAGTCATGTAGCAGCAGACGAGGTTCTCTGGGGCATGTGAAGAACAAGAGGCTTTCCTGAACTGTAATTTGTTCAGGTACCACCAGAATATTTGAGCCCCCCATTTCTCCAAGTCTTTTGTAGAAACACAAATGGGGAAGACTCTTTTACACAAAGAGAGGTAGTTGAGGTCTGAAGGTGTCTTTACATTTGTCAGATTGCTCAGCTGACGCCTTATTTTCTCACGTACAAAAAAAAAAAATGCTCAGAAAAATCATCCATATAAGAAAAAAATAAAGATAATGCACTTTAAGTAAAGGATACAGCAGTGTTAAGGGTCAGCACAGTTCACGTCCTGTTGGTGCTTACCAGAACATTTGAAAATCAGTACATGTCCTCAGTTCTTCTGGAGCATGACAGCAGAACCACAGACCTCTTCTTTCAATCTTTAGGGCCAGATGGCTTCCTGCAGTCATTCTGATAAAGGTCCTCAGCCTGGGTAGAAGTAGCAAGATCTCACTTTTGGGTCTCTATCTTAACACCCAGCCGAGGCTGGAAGGACATTACTTCTGCTAAGGCACCTCTATCAGTACAACACTTGATGCAGAAGTAACTCATAGTGGGAGTTGATTTGTGTGAGCCCAGCACCAGTCAAAAGCTGAAAGCAGTCTCAGCAGCTATTTTTTAGATGATTTATGGAATAAAAGAAGCTGATATGAAGACCATCACTTATGTGAATTCAGAGCTTCTTGGAGAAACTTTACTTTTTGTACTGGAGTGGGAAAAAATTATTCTTGGTCAGTAATAACTCTTATGAAACTCCTGGCCCTAACATGAGGCTGATGCTAAGCCTAAGTAGGAAGTGTATGCAGTCCTGAAGTGTTCCTTTATCATCTCTTTCAGTAGGCTTTCTGCTAGTATTGAGCACCTCAATGTTTAAAGAATGTAAATGCTAAAAGAAAATCAGGCAATTAATCACTCAAGTTTAGTAGGGCAAGACATTCTAGAATGTCATTTTCAAAATGAAGATGTACCTCACATGGTTATTACAGAAGGAAAAATTGCTTTTGTGTTTTATTAGGAATAAAAGAAAACTAGTGAAAAAGGAGAAACTCACTCAAATTATATCCTTTACATCTTTTTTCAGATACTTTATTTGTATTGGAGGCTAGGGTCTACAGTAAAATCAACATATGGATTTTAGTTATCTGAAACTATGACCAAAAAAAAAACCCAGTAAAAATAAAATGTATTGAATTTCCCATTAAGCTGCTGCCCTATAATCAGGGTATAGACATTATTCATTGGGAGAAATGTATTTTGCTTTATTAAACTGCTGCTAAACCATTTTACAGTACAATTGAATGTTCTTGGAGCACCAATCTGATGCAATTAAACTGTCAGAAATATTAATACTGATGCAGATGAGAATCTGGGTTTCTACTGATTTACGTAGCTTAGGCAAAGCAGTGCTAACATGAATCCAGCACTATTAGAAAGCTGCTCAATAGCAGCACTCACAACAGCAATTTCTTTTTCCATTAATAGAATAAGAGAAGCTGAAATGAGTGTCATTTATGGAACAAAATGTTCCTAGCAGACATTTTACCCCACTTCTTTTACTAGAGTGAATTCTTTCTTAAGTCCCTTTTTACAAATTAAAAGTCAGTGCTAGTTGTTTAAAACACATTGTTTAATTTCACTTAGATCCTTAAAAAAAAAAACATAATAGTCAACAAAATCCACCTTTAAAAATCTTGACTGCATACTAAGCATAAAATGTGTTCAAGTGAACAGCCTTAGCTTCATGAAGGACATATGGAGCAGCAAGCTGTTAGCAAATGGTTTTATAGAGGCTCTTATACAGTGGTGTGGATTTGCTTTCCAGGTGAGGATGAGTTGCTCAGCCCTCCCCAGGACACAAGCACAGGTTTGGAGGAAGTGATGGAGCAGCTGAACAACTCCTTCCCCAGCTCCAGAGGTGAGCGCTGCTGCCTGTGGCAGATGAGAGGGAAGAAGATAAAAGTGCTTTCTGTTCCTTGATCTTTTCAGGGGATTGTATTTTGGTTTCAGGTTTTTTTGCTGTTCTTTGTTTTTGTTTTAACAATAGCTATAGAGAAACCTGGTTTAGAGTGAGAAGCAGCCTGCTTCTCCTTTACCTTAAGCTACCTCCACAGGTAGCCCTTGCTAGATACATGAATGAAACAATGTCTGTCTGAGATTCTTTCTTCCTGAAAATTTTCTTCTCTTCCTTTTTGCCATGTTCATTTTCTCACAGCTTTTCTCCTTTTCAGGTAGTCTCCTCAATGACTTATTTTTAGTACCTGTCTTAGCACATTTTTCTTCTGTTTTTACCTTTCTCCAAGAAGAATGGTGTTTGAAATAATTAAGTTCTGAGTCAGTGATGTGACCTTGTAGACCTTGTAGCACTCTAGATTCGTAGTTCAGAGTGGTGGAGTTAAAACAAGTGGGCTGCTTTTTTGTGCAGTGTAGGCTGCAGTTGTCCTACAGATGCAGCATTTCTTTCAGTGTTTCCATTTTGCTTATTCCTGGTGTTTGCCAAAGATAAGCATTTGTATTACAAGGTTTTATTTGTTCAACCTTTTTTCATTTAAGAAGGTCTTTTCTGAGCCCAGAGGAAATACTCTGCTCAGGAAAAATGGTTTAGATTCTCAGCAGGAGGTGGTAACTTTGGGATACTACCTGTTGCTTTGAAAGAAGGCTCACAGATAAATCTCTTGGCAGAAGAAAATCCCAGTGTCTATTGATACCTGTTAGGTGGATTTCAGTAGGGGCAGAGACTTTACCGCAGTCACACATCACTCAGTTGTACTTCTTTAGTAGATAAATGTGTTAAACATTATGCTAGACTTTCAGTGAAGTGTTCTTCATCCTTTGATCTCAAAGCAAGCTCAGCTCTCACCAGGCACCATCTGTGAGTGAGAAAGAAGGCAGCAGTATAAACTGCGTAAGATCCCATGCTAAAGATCAAAAGATAGAATCATTTAGAAAGATGTTATTGAAGAAAATCTGATACAGTATATTCTTAACTACATTCATCTCCACCTCAGCATTACATTCAAAAGTCGTATTTGCCTAGATATTTGTTATCAGAGACAAGAGATGTAAAATCTTTCAAACATTAGTATATAGATAAAAACTGACTTCTTTTTGAAGTTGCTGTGTACACAAGGTTGCAACAGACAGTGCTTTCTTATCAGTGACCATCATTTATGTAAATATGTTGTATTAAGGTGATCTTGCATAATCGCATGTGTCTAGATGTAGATACATGTGTTAAAATATTCACTAAATGTGGTATCTAATTCATAATCATGATGACAATGACAGTTTCTTTTTTTAAAAAGAGCTTAGTTTTAAGTAAAATAGGAGCAATTTATGAAATAATAATGAGGTATTTGAAATACTACATACATCAGTTAATATTTTAATTCCATAAATTAAGCTATCACAGTATCACAGTATGCTAGAGATTGGAAGGGACCTCAAAAGATCAACTAGTCCAATCCCCCTGCCGGAGCAGGAACACCTAGATAATGTTACACAGGAATGTGTCCAGGCGGGTTTTGAATGTCTCCAGGGAAGGAGACTCCACAACCTCCCTGGGCAGCCTGTTCCAGTGTTCCGTCACCCTCACTGAGAAGAAGTTTCTTCTCAAGTTTAAGTGGAACCTCTTGTGTTCCAGTTTGTACCCATTACCCCTTGTCCTATCATTGTTTGCCACTGAGTAGAGCCTGGCTCCATCCTCGTGACACTCCCCTTTATATATTTATATACACTAATAAGGTCACCCCTCAGTCTCCTCTTCTCCAAACTATAGAGACCCAGCTCCCTCAGTCTTTCCTCATAAGGGAGATGCTCCACTCCCTTAATCATCTTGGTTGCCCTGCACTGGACTCTCTCCAGCAGCTCCCTGTCCTTCTTGAACTGAGTGGCCCAGAACTGGACACAATGTTCCAGATGCGGTCTCACCAGGGCAGAGTAGAGGGGAAGGAGGACCTCTCTCGACCTACTAACCACCCCCCTTCTAATACACCCCAATATGACATTGGCCTTCACAAGTGTAAGCCCAAACAAGTGATGGCAACAGATCTGAAAAGAATACATTTTCTTACATTCATCCTTACTAAGAAGAGTTAAAAAATTGTCAGATGCAAGAAAACTCAGTTATCTCAGTCTCGCATTAAGAAGTGCGTTGTTGATACAGGAGCCTATGGAATATTATTTAAAAGGTGAATAAGAACTACTTGGATAAGGTGGCACCACATGTGATATATATTGGCTTTAGAAATTAAAACTAGAAGGAAGGTGGAAGGTGGATTAAATGCCAAAGATTGACTAATACTAGAAGTAGATTTGTTTATTTCTATACTAATATTGTAGAAAAAATCTACTATGATATTCATAGACGATACAGTTCCAGAAGAGCTGCAGAGGACAGAGGGCACTCATCAAAACCTGTCTAGACTGAAACTGAGAATAACAAAATGAAATCCAGGAAGGGACAAACATCCATACAAATAACCTGAAATTTACACATGGAATCAATTGAGGAAATCTAGGGATATATTAAAAGGCCTGGGAAGTTACTGGCAGAACATTAAATGTAGGTTTCCTTTGTGGCCTGTAAACATAAGCATGTCAAATTTCAAGTTAAATGTCCAGCTCCAGCATGTCACAGAATAGGGAGTGATAGGCCTTTTGAATCAGGGACATGATTCTGGGTATTCTATTGCTCTTAGGTTAACGACAGTTTGGAGGAATGCAGAATGGTATGACAAGAGCAAACTAGACGCTGAAGGCTTTGGTTCCTGATGAAAGTTTAGAGCTGAATAAGCAGTGAAGACAGAAGAGGACTGAATTTTGGTGCATGGATGCTCAGATGCATAGTTGAACATCACAGGACACAAATTTAAAACAAAACTATTTAGTTTAAATACCAGCAATAGTATCTGAAGAGTAAGATTTGCTCAGCTTGGGAAATAATTTTCTAAAGCAAGTAGTAGCTCTTATTTTGGACTTCTGAAACAAAGCAGTAAAGTGTAGTCGTAATTAATTGCCACTTACCTGGAGATAGATTTGGTTTGATTATGACATTTTCCAAGCTTTTCCTACATAGAGTTGTTTTTAAAAGGGCACCAAGGCTTCACAGCATCATTTTGAATGCATTTTAGAGAAGCATATGTTAAACAAATCATGTTATAGACCTTCACAACCAGATCTCTGATGCAATAACTTGTGTGACTATATACCTTTCATAGGGTTTCTCAGCTTAACCTTTTGACAGTTCTTGGCATAAGGAGCAAAGGACGTCCGTGTTCCTTACATAGCTGACTGCTGGTGCTGAAAGCTGTTTCCTTTCTGGAAAGGGAAATTCTGCTGAATACCTGATGATTGCTGTCCTTAAGGAATTTTTCTTTCCTTTTAATCTGCAAGGCTTCCCATGCAGTCCTCTTTTACTTTGCTGCTCCCAGCAAATTCACAACTGCTGCAGCTGCTTCAAACAGCTGCTGTGCTAACTCAAAACAGATGTCAAAGCCAGAGGTCTGACATTTAGTGGAAATCTACCATTAAATACCACCTCAGGTTTGTTTGACCCTGCTTGATAATGTGCCACAGAGGAAAACATTTTCACGCTGTATTTGTGCCCAAGCTTCTAAATCTCCGGGGAATTGGTTCACAGTTAGAAAGTAAGATTGGCAGGCCAGTATTTTTAAGGCCAAATCCATCTCTTCTGCAGCACTGAGAACAAACAAGTTGCACTGCTTCAGGTGGATCTCATGGCAGACCACACTGTGCTTTGCAGTTACTGTTTTGTGGCAGATGCTTTCTATGAATGGAGCTCAGAGAGGAATTTAGAGACAGGAGTTCCTGAGCTAACTAAAGTTGATGAGAGAACTTCTCAGGCCTTCAATGCAGGCCCTTGATGGTGGATAATAAGGAAGTGGGAGCTAAGAAGTGGTTAGAAATGTGACCCCAATGGCTCAAAAGAGTTGAGAGGCCATGACATACATAATATGAAAACACTTGGAGAGGGATCAGTACTCACCATTATTGTTTAGCATAGTATTGCTTGATACAGTTGTTGTCTTGTGCTATGAAATTACAGCCCAGAGAGGTTTGGCTGTCCTATTCCTCGAAGTGTTCAAGGCCAGGTTGTATGGGTCTTTGAGCAACCTGGTCTGATGGAAGCTGTCCCTGCTCCTGGCAGAGGGGTTGGAACTAGGTGATCTTTAAGGTGCCTTCCAACCCAAACCATTCTGTGATTCTATGAATCTGCATAGATGAAATTTCTATTAATGCCTCTGATTTCAGGTTTGATTCGATCACTCTCTGTGTACCTTTGCCTGTGATACAATGTCACGTAGATTTCCAAAACAGAAAAAGCAAGAAAGACTGCTATTTTGTAAGGGCAGGAAATCTTGATTTGAGCAGTAATAATAGATGATTAGGCACCTGTGGATTGTGTATCAGTATTTTGATGCCTTCTAGAATATAAATTTCAGAACCATGGCAATACAGACAATCTTCTTCCTCTGCAATTTATGTGAAACCATACTCCTTGCTGTAAAACCTAGAGACACACATTCATTCATATGCAAAGAAGAAAATAAAGTAAAATCCGTAAAACCCTTTTTAATCTCCCTCTAAAAGAAATCAGCTTACTGTAGTAGTGCTACTCTTTGTTGCAGTTAACAAATTCTAGGGCTGATTACTCACCACAGACTTTTCTCACCAGCTGTTTTGTGTTGTGCAGAGCTATCCCAGTTACCTTTAAATACATTAATTTTCAAACAGAATCCAGTCTGTCTCTTAGATATTTAAATTAGACACAGTGTAGCTGCAGTCTTAGTCTTAGGCGCTTGTGGAGACAGGTAGGCATTTTTTAAGACCTCCAAAAGGATCCAGTATTTTGCGTGTAGGCAGTTCCTTCTCTCTTCTTGACTCAAAATTAACTGTCCTCTGCTGCATCTCATTCGTGCCCCGGGACTCTTGAACACCTCACTATATCATGCTGCAGTTTCTGGAGGCCTTAGCTAGACCACCTACTCACCTAAACCCTGAGGCTGTACCTCAGAAGAAGACCAAAGTGTGCAATGGATTTTATATCTTCATTTTCAAGGATTTTCTGTTACATGATTTGTATTTGTGAGAGCTTCTCATCTTCCGTCCTGGGAGGCATTTTGTAGGGAGTTCATGGCTCCTGATAAATCACCAGAGGAGGTCACAGGTTGCGTAAGTGCTCATATAAATCCAAGAGAGTTAGGCAGGCCTGCAAGGTGAAGTTCTCAGAACTGAAGTGACACCTCTGGGCCATCAAGCTCACCCTGGTACCTCTGTGCACCACTAGCACGTGTGGTATAGACAACCTGAATTGAGGCTCCCCTTAGCAGAATAAAAACCCACCTGCAAAGCATGACTGTAAACCTATTATGCCCCATCCCTGGCAGTGTTCAAGTACAGGTTGTCTGGGGCTATGAGCAAGCTGGTCTAGCAGAAGGTGTCCCTGACCATGGCAGGGAGTTAGAACTAGGTGATCTTTAAGGTCCCTTCCAACCCTAACCATTGTGTGATTCTATGGTCATTTCTAATAGCAAGCATACTACTGTGGAGAGCAAGAGGGGAAGGAAGGGAATAAAACTTCCTCTTTCAATAAATCATAACCTTTGATGTCCAGGTCCTTCAGAGGCTGCCCCAGCTGTTTCCATTGCCTATTGTTTGCAGCTGAGCAGTGGCTGTGACCTGTGGTGGTCAGTGATGCCATTCACTTCCTCCGCCCTGTCCTCCTCTCCTTTACCACCCCTGCTCAGCTTTGCTGTGATGCTGACCCTTGTTCTGCTCCTTGTAAAATATCTGCAAAGCTATTTGTTGTCTTCCTTCCCTTCTCCTGCAGGCTGCCATATCTAGAAAAAAACTCAACAGCAATTAGGTTACTGGCCATGTGTTCTCCTGTTTGTGTCTGTATCTTTCCACATTGTCCCATACTTCATTTACAATTACATCATTTACAACAACTCTGGGTCAAAAAGCATCCTCTTTCTTGATCAGTAACTTTTTCACTGAAGACTGCAAGTCGAGCAGTGTTGGTGCTGGTAGTAATGGGCCAGTGGCAGTGGGACGCTGCTTCTCTAGACAGCGAGTGTTTTATCACCAGCTGTGGAAGTGGAGGGAAAGGAAGAGGTGTCTCCACTGTTGACTGACACCTGGCTTTCTTTTGTTAAAAACAAATATGCTATGGTAAGTGTTTGGGAAGAATCAGTATGATTCAAGTTTGGCTTCTGTGAAGGCTCCTTAAGAACATCTTTTCAGCTCAGCCCATTAAGGACTCCTCCATTTTAGCAGTGCAACTTGAAAGTGATGAGATCTTTTCCCTTTTTTTCCCCCTTAATTTTTTTTTTCTCCCTTTTTCATTCTGCTCTCCAGTTTTACAGTGCTTGCAGATCAGTTTGTTGGAAACACCTTATGGAATGTATTTATCTTTAATGTGAGCATGTTATGTTCCCACTGTGCAGCTTTAGGTGGAAAATGTGTGTATGCGTATGTGTAGATGTATACCTGTATATATGTATGTAGGCCATAATAAAACTTCAAGTGTGTGGATTAATTAATTTGACATTGGAGAAACATCATTTTGCCACTGATCAGTAGAAGTACTCAAGTTTTCTCAAGTGTTTTTGCTACATTAAAACCAAGTCACAGATTACAGAATTGTGCTTGAATAAATCACGTCAGAATCATTACTGGATTTCAGTACACTTTCAGTCTTCGTGTAAAGCAGAAATGCAGTTATTTTATATTAAATTCCTAAGTGGGAATGGAAATGTCTCTTACAGTGTAAAATATATATTCACATGTGGTTTTTTCCCTTTCTTTTCTGATATTTCTTCCACTTCCTCTCTCTGTTCCTAAAGGAAGAAATGCCCCTGGAAAGCCAGTGAGAGAGGTTAGTGAGATGCAAGCTCACTGCCATGGCTTCTGTTTGTCACAGCTTGCTTTCTGTGTCCAGCATGAGTGTGATGGCAGCACGGGTTTGCTTGGGTTTGATGAAGGGTGGGGGTGGTTTTCTTTTGCTTTGGGTTTGGTATTTGCCGAGTGCGTTCCCCATGTGTGCTCTTACAGTAGCGTACCTCTCAACTTTCAGTGGGGACAGTGGCAGCTCACTGATCTGCATTTTCCTACATCCTCCCAGAGGTGGAAACTCAGGAATGGGGAGGAGAAAACAGTACATTAAAATTAAACCTCTGTATGATAAATGTGGTAAGCAGCTATGCTGCAGTCATTGACTTGTGTTCTGTTGCTCTTGTATGTAAGCAGAACAGGGAGACCCATGTCTCTTGTCCTGCTTACATATTCACAATTGTATGTACATACATGTGCCAATATACCAACCGTCATCTGCAGTTACTAAACAGTTTTTTTTCTTTTTCTTTAGAACAGTGAGAGTTGAGAGGTATAAGAGATTCAGGTGTTTTAATTTCCTGGTATATATATATGAAGAATGCTACTAACATTCACCAGCTCCACAGTGTTGTATTGGCAATGCAAATGGGCGATGGTTTTCACTGTGTGCTTTGGACACGGTTGGTTTGCTGCAAAATAGATTCTAGAATTTATACTTCACTGCTTGTTAATGGAGGAAAACGTTTTGCGCTGTTGTCATAGTACCTTTGAAAGTACTTCCAGAGAGCCTTGATTTTTTCCTCTGTGAAGCTGCTCTTCACTCGCCAACCAGGTACAAGGTTTGAAAGCTGAATTCCTAGTGAAAATTATTATTAAAGATGAAATATTCAGAGGCTGCCTGAGTGCAATTGCAAGTAGCTGTGAAATGACCTTTCATGCACAGATGATGTTCAGTGTGGATGAGGCAGAAATTGAAGGGTAACCCGGTCTGCAAACTTCTGCTGGTGCAGAGAGTGGGGCTCATGGAAGCACACTGCCCTGCGGTTTTTGGCAGTGCTGCTGTGAACCCCCAGTCACTGACAGGCTGCCCTGGGTAAGCCAGGATTTGTTCCAGTGTGGTACCTTGAAATATAGTGGTTCTCTGCATTGGCTGTAGGAACTGGCACAGGTCCAGACACTTCTAGGTATAAGAGCCTCGGTGTGGTTAAGTCTGTCCTCAAATGGCAGGTCCTCTCTCATATGGATCAAAAATAGGGTGCTTGGGATGTCATTTACAGAACTGCACCAGTCCACAAATTTAATGGAAATTATTTAATTTTCAGCCCTACATATTCTTGGCTCATACAGCCAGAGAATTGTTCTCCAGCTCAGCAAAGCAGGTTGTTGATTTCTAGTATCTTCATTCAGATTTATGCATATTACTCAGAAAAAGCTTCTGCTGCTGAATGCATACTTGATACAATTAATGAAAAATAATAAACAAACAGATAGGAAAATGTACATGCCTTGCCTGATCAGATTCCAGCAGTTTAATCCTAAAAAAGTTGACTTCAGTGAATCACTCACCACTCACTCTCCAGCTGTACTTGTTATCACTGATGGTTCCAGAAGGGGCTTGGTAACTTGCAGAGCTGAATATAAAACGCCATTCTCCATCTGATTATGAAGTGTATGAGCTAAGGTATAGAACAATTTTTGCTTTATGTACAACTCCATTTGCACAAAAGCAGATCATGCTGTTTTAAACCCACCCTGCCAGGTTTTGATCCCATTACTCACATTAGGTGTTGTTTTCATGTGTAATCCCATGGATTTTGTAGCATTATTCAATATGAATAAGGAAATCAAAATCCAAGTTACCAGCAGGAAGGATTTTTCTCTTGACAGGGAAGGGTTAGAAATCTGCTACAAAAAAAAGGCACTGCATTGTGTTTGGGTTTATTAATTTACTTTCTGTCCATTCTTTCAAGTCTGAATGCTTTTCATTTATTTCTCTGACAAGCTGTAGTGTAAGATTGTCATTCAGTTCCTGTGCCGTCACCCAAGGGCCTTAATTCCAGTAGAGCCTCTAAAGCAAATTCAGCAGATGTGAAACACATCACTCTGCATGTGACTAGAAGTGATGTAGTTAGTGTCTGCAGAAATAGGTGCTTCTTCAAAGCAAACATACCTGTGTTAATAGTCCCTCCGTTTTATAAGTCTAAGTTAATACTGTCCATGTCCACTTTGAGCTTTATTGCTGTATTTCAAAGTGTGTGCTATTTTTTTATTATACAGTAGCTTCTCTTAACCTTTCAGTGCCTTAAGCATGGAGAAAACTTTTTCAGCTTTAATGTTTTTAAAAAAACAAAACAGAATTGATGCCTTCTTCGGTGGCGTTACTTTAACAATATCAATAATAATGAGTGTACAGCTATGATTTATATTTTTCCAAGTGATTTTAGGACAGTATTTTTCTCATTTGCTTGTTAATCAAAAATGTCAGTGTCCTGTGTTTCAGTCTTAGAGAGGGCAAGTAAGCAGTATTCAACAGAATAAATAGAGCTATATAAAACCAGTGAGTACATCTGAGCCATTATTTAGGTAACAGGCACTATAGAAAAGGGTGCATTCATTGCACATACAGTACCAGTACATCATGGCATACGTTCACCAGCTGAGTGGCTGGAGCACTGTTGCACTGCCCTCTCTTCTGGCGTCCTCCATCCCACAATTGTCCCAAAGACTACTGTCAACAAGCTGTTGCACTTTACAGTCCAGCTATTAACATAAACTGCAGTCAGCAGATGTTTATCGTCATGCTCTGAGCTGTAAAGTAGGATGGCTCGGGAGAAGATACACAATTGTTCAGGTTTTCTGCAGTGGAAATTAAGACCTGTGCTAGAGAAGTAGCATGGGTGGTGTGGGGTAGAGGGAGTTGTGTCTCCTTAATCACCCCAGCGTGCCTCTGTGCCGCTTCTGTGGAGAGAGATCGGATTTGAACCATGGTTATTGCAAAACTATGGCAGCAATTAACAGAGAAAAGAAAAAAAGACTAACAGACTTTCCTGTAATTTTTATGGATTAAAATACCTGGTGATCCCTGGATGCAGAAGGTCTTCTTGGCCTGTGTTTTAGTTACCTGAACAATTTAGCAGTTTGTACCTACTGTGGGATACTTCTGAGAGACTTTTTTTCTACATTTTTGATTGCAGTTATTCTTTCTACGCCTAGCCTCTTTCTATAAAACCAGCTTGCCTTTGTTACCCTTACAGCTCTGTATCTGACAGTACAAAACAGTATTCACAAATACTGATTTTTTCTAAAGATGGGGTTAAGCAGTTTGCTGTAACCCCACGGAAGGGCTGTCACTCTTTCTGAGCTGGGAATGAGTGGTGGTAGAGCCTCAGAAGAGCCCTGGAGTCCCATCATTGTTTCTAGAAGCAGCAGATTGCCACAAACCTGAATAAGAGACCATGGCAGCAGTGTCTCTCAGAGCTAGCTAGCCAGTTACAACTCTCCTGACTGTTCTGTCTCATATCTCTGGGTTGATGAACTGGAAACAGAAGAATATTTAAAGCCTAGAGATTTCTTGAAAGTGGTTTGTAGAGACAGGATGCTGCAGTCACTGCAGTTATATCAGTGTTATTGGTAAAGCTGTGATGGCACATGCTACAGATGTACCTGAGCCATGTCAGAGTTTCAGGTAAGTAGATCAAACCGGTGACAGTTACAATTCTGTTTACATAAGCATCTCCCATAAAAATAGGGTCTTGTTTTCATATAGCTTCTTCAAATTTTCACTTTCCATGGTGTAATTTGCTGGGTTGATCTTAGCCTGCATGGTGTAAATAAGAAAGATTATCCTTTACATCTGAAATAAATGTGGTAGCATACATTTACTTTAAAGTAAACTGTGTTTTGTCCAAAACTTGGCAGGCACTGTTACTTGATGTGCTGATGAGCAAATTAGAAGTTTTTGCTTATGACTAATAGGATATCTATACCTTAATGATTTATGGATGAAATTGAAGTTTGATGCATCTGTTTCACTGTGCATTAGTACAATTAGCAAACTGTCACCAGATTAGAACCAAGTATTTCTTTGTATTGATATCTGGCAATTATTACCATGCACAGCGCAGGTCACTATTGAGGCTGCTTGTCGAGTCGTATTTGAATGTAAAAGGTGATAGTAGTTCTCCAGAAAAATACTCTGGATATTCCTCAGGTCACTTTTTTTCAATTCCATAGATGCTGATGAATATTAACTAATGTTACTCCAAGGTCCTATGTTCTGCAGAAATATCAGCAGTGCATGACTACCATAATTTATGAATATTTGGAAGGGGATTGTGAGTTTGATTTGCTCCACGAGGAAGGTTCACTCCTGTTGTTAGAGAAGACAGTTGTGTCAGGAAGACACTCTCTTTGTAGGTAGGCACTAGTAACAGTCAGGCTTCGATGCATTACAGACAGGGAGTTCATGAAAGGTGTGTCTGCATACTTTATTCACGTCCTTTATTCATTTGGTTGCTCCTTCCAGAAGGACTGTGGCGAGGGGCTGTCATCCAGGCTAATGCAAAGCATTCCTGGGAAGCAGAGTTGTGGGCAGGTGGCATTGTAAACCCCATTTTTTTTCAAAACCTGTATTTTCAGGGAGTAAATCAAACCCCTCAGGCCATAGCAACATGTAGTTTTATTGTGTCACACTTTCCCTGTTGCTGGCAATGTGTGGCTTAGAAACTTCTTGAGTTAGAGGTCACGTGCACTTCTTTGCATCTAAAATCTTTCTTCAGTGATTATTTTCTAATTTGTTTTTTAAGTCATTTATGTGTTTGGCCTCAACATCAGCCTGTGGTGATGAGTTCAGTAATACAATTTTATGCTGTGTGGAGTATAATTTCCTTCTGCTTGTTTAAAGACCTTCTGTCTGCTCATTCCTGCTTGTCCTTGCAAGAAATCTTGAACACTTGGTCCTTGGTTGCTCATCTTGTAGAGTGCCTAGATCTGTCATGTATTTTTTTGGTAGGGAGACTCCAGATTTGGTTCAGCTGTATAGACCATGATGTCTCTGTGTTGAGATGCCAGAGGGTATTTGAGACATAGAGGGCTGCAAATCTTGACACAAGACTTTCGGGGGGGGGGGGAACGACACTCTTCTGAACAGCAGCTGGAGACCGCACAGCATTTGCCAAGGGCCTAAAATGGCAACTTTTGGAAATATAATCTCTCTGCCTTCAAGTCTGCTTAGTTTTTCATTGTGATAAAGCCGTTTCTTACTGCTGATGAGCACTGCTACCTTTCCTTTACATTTTCAGCAGATATGAGTGTGAGAAGTTGTTACAGGTTTCAACTCCAGAATTGTGGTCTGTGGTTGTTTATCACTTCTATGTAGGAGGACAGTGGGCTGTGGTGATAGGACCTTACTCTTTACAGGTGAGGAGAAATGTGCAAGTGAACCACTGTATAGTACATTACTTGATAACTGGCATCTTTGTGCTGAACTGCTGTTTGAGAAGCAAAGAATATTTTAAAAATGATTGAATGAGCTGCAGCCCTCAACATTTTAGTGTCTGTGCAGGTATCCTGCTGGGACCTCTTGGGTTTAATGATTTAGTTAATTACTGCTGATCTGTTTGTTTCTGTTTCTCTCCTTGATAGACTTTGAATGGTCAAACACTTGCAGCACCAGTCAGAAACTTTTCTGTGATGTTGATGGATTTAATCCTTCCTTTTGGTGAACATTCGTAACAATGAAGCTTCGTCACTACAGGGCGGGGTTTTTTGGAACACAAACACACTGGCTTATGGTCAGCATAGTTTACCATAGCCATTCAAGCTAGTATTGCTAAGTGTTCTGCAAAACCAGCAACTTTTGCTAAGGACAAAATATTGGACTCATCCAGTGTATTCCTGGGAATGGCAGCAAGTGATGGATCTGTGCTCAGCCTCTCTAGTAAAACACTCATTCCTACCAACATACTGCTGTATTGTCTTCCTTTAATGTCCTCTTTGACTTTCTTTTTCAGGCCACAATGTAGGAAGCCTTTTCCACATGGCAGACGACTTGGGAAGAGCAATGGAAACCTTAGTGACAGTGATGACTGACAACAAGGTGTTAGAATAGCAAGATGTGTTTTACGACTTCAGGCATCCCGCATGGTTTTTATAATATTCATACTACAAAGAGGATTAGACTGTAAGAGTTTACAAGAAAACAAATCTATATTTTTGTGAAGGGTAGTGGTACTATACTGTAGATTTCAGTAGTTTCCTAAGTCTGTTACTGTTTTGTTAACAATGGCAAGTTTTACACGTCTATGCAATTGTACAAAAATTACAAGAAAACAACATGTAAAATCTTGATAGCTAAATAACTTGCCATTTCTTTATATGGAACGCATTTCGGGTTGTTTAAAAAAATTTATAACAGTTATAATGAAAGATTGTAAACTAAAGTGTGCTTTATAAAAATGTTTATAGAAACCCCCTTTAAAAAAAACACACAAAAAAATTACTGAGGCAGTGCATTTCTTCAGTTTCATTTCAGCTCTGTAACTACATCAGAGATTCATGTCCTGTGTTCTTTTCCTTGCCTAGCAAAAATAAAAAGGGAAAACAGTATTTCCTGCAGCAACACCAAAATGGCCAACTTATATTTACTTACATTTCCCATTGGTTTTGTCTGACTAGGGCTGGCTTAAAAAAAAAGAAGCTCCTGAACTTCCAGTGAAGGTAGTTGCTGCCTCTTGCCAGTAAAATTAAGGATTACATGAATTACACAGCTAGTTTGCAATAATTAAATGAAAGAGCACATTACATGACAGAAAATGAAAAAAAAAAAACCAACAAAAAAACTAGGAAAAAAAAAAACAAAAACAACAGAAAACCAACAAAAAACAGACAGCCCAGAAGGAGAGAATTTAATGACCATCTTATGTTCTCTGCTGACTAAATTCCTGAATGCTATTAGTAAAGGAAAGTAGAAATTGCCTTACCAGATTAAAACTTTGGACCCTGGTGTCTGGCACCCCACTGGCTGCTACTGCTTCAGCAGGAGCTGGGCACAGGTCTTCCCTCACAGGTGGCATCATCACCTTTGCTGCAGAGGAGAGAAGAAAGGGAGATAGAAGTTCCTCCTGACCCCCTGTGGGATCAGCTTCTGACTCGAAGCACAAGTAGGTAATTCACAGAGCAACATTGCTTGTCCAGCTCCTGATGCTGTTAATGAGCATGAAGCTCCTCAGTCCTCTGGAAAATAAAACCAGAGCTTTCCACATGTGTCTCAACCTGCTACAGCAGTGAGTCCCAAGGAGCTGTAATGCTGCAAGTGTCCTTCAGGAAAGGCTGTAGAAGAGTTACTGCTGTTCTTGTGCACACATGATCAGGTAAAGGTAGCCACACTGCTCCATGAGATACTTATCACCAATAAAAATGCCCTGGTCCTTTCTCCTTCCACATTTCTCTCTACAAGTAACCCCACACAACTAACAGCAACGTGAGAAAGAGAGGAACTGATAGCAAACAGATAAGCCAGCTTGACTGCAGCTCATGAGAGGTAGGTTCCAGTATGAGGTGCTGTCAGCAAAAGCTTTACCACTTCGTTCTCTTAACCAGCTTTTAATTTTACCTTAGAATATGTAGAAACACATCATCTGACTCTATATTGCAAGAGTAAAAAAATCTGTTACCTCTTCTTGGATGAAGTGTAATTAAACTTGGGAAAGATTTTATTTAGAATGCTAGTTAACATTGAACATGGCTAGTCATGCTATTTCTACCTCACTTTGGTTTTGTGGTGTTCCTGACGATTACGTACAGATAATGTTACATCATCACCATATGTCCATTGTGTGACCAGGTCTCATCGTTTTAAATAATACCAACAATGATAACCATTTACAAAGTATAAGTACAATTCCCCCCCAAAACCTCTGCTTTCCTAATAAAGAGCTTTTTTAACACTTTATTACAATAGAAACCCTCAGTATTTCTCATGGTCCTTTTTTATCAGAAGGTTTAAATTGAAATGTGAGAAAGAGATGGGTTTCTTCTTTTTTTTTCCACCCTTATACGTTAAACCTTCTCTTCAAGAGAAAATGGAGGAAAAATGGATTGCACGGTTGTTTTCATCAGGGTTTTGTTTTGTTTGTTTTACTTTCTAGATCTTAGTTTTGGAGTGAGTCTGTCAAAAAATATTTAAGAAGCTGAAAGCTTTATCGCTGCTTTTTTAAGCATAACGGGAATTATTTCATATTCCTTATAATGGCAGAGTATTAAACTGTA